CTTCCCTTCCCTTCCCTTCCCTTCCCTTCCCTTCCCTTCCCCTTCCCCTTCTTCTTCCCCTTCTTCTTCCCCTTCCCCTACTCCCTTCCCCTATTTCCTTCCCCTTCCCTTTCCCAATCCAAGGGTTTCAGTTTGAGCTCAGGATTTTATGCCTTAACACAAGAAGGAACATATTCCTTTGGGAACACTTCCAACCCTCCTTTGAAAAGGTTTGGGAACCTGAGAAGCGATTGTTTGTTTCTGTTAAAGCTGAGCTGCAAACAAAGGAAAGGATGTGGTCTTGTACCTGCTTCCTTTCTTCACTGTTATTAAGTCAAGAAATGCTTGTTTGTTTGATGTTTTAAGACAGCTTTCTGGCACTTCCCAGCTCTAGATGTGTTAGCAATGATAAGCTTGCTTTTTATTTTTATTTTTTATTTCTTCTTCTTTCTGTTCATGAAGCTCTCCTTGGGCAATGGGAATATGTACAGTCATTTGCATTTGGGAAAGCTGGAAATGTGTGGTTGGAAATCTTCCCCTCCAGTTCCTGTTTTACAAGTGTTTGTCAAACAGCAGAAGACATAGTCTTCCTGCCATCCTGCCAAAATACTTATCCCTTTGATTATGAAAGTTTAACTTCCTTTGTAATTTAGATTTCAGCATCCTAGTAGGCATGCAATACAGGTTTAGAAATAGTCCATGAATAGAGACAGATAAAGAAAGCCCTTATTCCTGTAAAAACAGATAGTTATCGAAGAAATACTAGATCCACAGAGAGAAATATAAAATCAATTTTATACCTTAGGAAAAAAAAAGCATGTAATGATTTAGGATATTTACATTTGCATTTAGGTATATGGGGAATTAAAAAGATTGCAAAGCAGCTGATTACTTAGAACAAACAATCTGAACAAAATGTTACAACTTTCAAGGCTGTCTAAACTAATCCTAGGAAAAACTACTATTGAGGGTCTTTGGGTTTGATTTTTTTTGTTTTGATCAGCTAAGCAGTTTGACATTTGTAGGATTTTTTACTAAGCAATGCTAACTGACTACACCTTGGCAAAGAACTTCATCAAGATTAGTGTTGTAATGCTTGACCACTTGGAAAACGGTCAGTTTTTGAATAAAAATGCTTCATTGAAGCCAATCCCTCATGTAGAACATAGGGAGTCATAGAAATGTATTCAATTCACTGTGTCAAACACTCAGCGAATGCCAGATTTTACTGTTACCTTCCCAAGCACTAATGGAGCTTTCCTGGGAGTATGCATTGCCTTTATTCATGTAATCAAAATGGACTTTTTTCACCAGGGCCCCTTCTCCTTTCAGTGCACTGATTAGACCAGAGCATTACCCAACCTGAGATGAGTTACCAAGACCTGTTGATTTTTTTTTAATCACTCCTTTTAACAGGTTTAAAAGATATTTGAAACAGAGTCGGCTGAACTACTCCCCAGATTACAACACTCCCAAATTTAGCACTAATGGCAACACCCTTTGTACACTCCTTGTACATGTTCCTGTCTAACAGAAGGCAGCAGCACTGTAATGCAGTAAAACAAGCAAAACACTTTTTTTTCATGTGCTTTATTTTCATAACAAGCATTGCTTTAAGAGATTGTCTTACCCTAAAGAGTCCTAGCAGCCTCTGTGTCAGGCTGTCTGCTAAGCTTTAATTCCACTTTCTGAGATGATGATGCTTCAAACAAACAAAAAAGAGGGGGAACAAAAAGAACGAAAATGTTCGTGTTCATTTTTCCAAGTCTTCACATTGGTGGGAAACTTAACGAGGAAGCATTCAGCTTCCAGAAAGAGGTCATGTAACCCAGACCTGACAGTTGTAAGTGACAGAACTGCATTTCTCTTCCCCCAGCACAAGTATGGTTACCCCTACTCTCAGTCATGCCTGATCAGTTCTTCACCTGCTGAAGCCTTGAGAGTGTGCTTTTTTTCATGCAGTATGAAAAGTGTGCTCCCCTTACAGCAGCTGTTCTGCAAACCAGGAGTCATGAAGGATCAGTAGTGCTGACGAAAAGCACCCACCTGGGCTGCTCAAATGTGTTCAGAACATGCTGACAGGTTTATTTACATTTCTGGGCACTATTGGTGGTCTTCTGGCACAGGCTGCCCAGAGAAGTGGTGAATACTCCATTCCTGGCAGCATTCAGGCCCAGGCTGGGCAGACTCTCGGGCTACATGGTCTAGTGTGAGGTGTCCCCACCCATGGCAGGGGGTTGGAACTTGATGATCTTGAGGTCCTTTCCAACCCTAACTATTCTGTGATTCCATGATTGTCACAGCCAGCATGGACTCCTTATGTATGCATGTTGTCTGCATGCTGGCAGATGTGTGGGTACGTGCTCACACTGAATGTTTTGTATCAGCTGTACTCTATTGGGTGATGGGGTCATGTACAGGCTTGATGCTGCTGCATGGTGCAGTGGGACAGGGCACACCTGGGCTGGTGAACCTTGTGCTGAGCTGAAAGATTCCAGCACCAAACCAGCCCCATGCTCCTTAAAGCTGGTGCTCACTGATGGTAAATGCAAGGAGCAAGTGAGCTGTGGTGAACTCCCAGCTGGGACACTCATGGGAATCTCTGGACCAGAATGGTGTAGTTCTGTGCCTCGCTTGCTGTTCAACCTGTGACAGCCTTATCAGTTTAGCCCTGGACCTGACTAGTGTGGATACACACAACTCTCCCTAGTCTTGAGTCACCTAGATGATATGTCATTCAAGGATCAGGCATGCTTCTGCTCTACAGCTACACACGAGAGGAAGAAAGGAAGGCACTACTATCACTGAGCTTCACGCTGCCATCTTTTTGCATGGACATTGAATGAAAAGAAGTTCGGGAGCAAGCTGTTGCCTGTTACTCCTTGCAACAGACACAATTTATCCAAAAGGCAGACTGACACCTGCTCTCAAATCTTTGCAATTTCTGCTGCATGGTGCTTCTACAGGGAAAGGTTGTTACTACTGAAAATTTCTTTCCACATGGATTCTATCGAGGTACAAGGTGAAACACAAAGGCACTTCTGAACATCCCATGAAAGTCACTTTATTGCAAAATTAATATCATCAGGTAGAAAATTTGCGTATCACATAGTTCAGCTCTTGAAAGAAATGTACAAACCATGTTTCATTTGTATAAGGGACCACATGAGCTACAAACTGATGGCAAGACTGGCCAACTGGTTGGGGGGTGCTCAGCTTGTAAAATGTGAGTGAAGAGTCCTTCAGTATTCATGTTATCCTGAGTATTGTTTCAGTTCAAGAACCACAACACATAAAACACTTCATTACTTTTACCTGGTATATTGTACATCCGTAGTGGTTTTTTGTTTACTTGTGGTTTCTGTTATTTAGGTGGTAAAGGATAAGCATCTTGTAAACAATAAGGCTGGATTACAGGATTGATAGATGACAGTAGTTTGACCTTCCTCCCAAACAGGCTGTTAAAAACCATATATAAGGGGCTATATTCTGATAGGCAGAGATCTCATAGCTTCAAAGTTTTGGGATTAATAATTTTTCCAATTTAGAATTGTTTCAAAGCAACTGGAATACACAGAAGCCACTCCAGGGAGGCACCTTTTGCTTTGAGCTTTTTATACCATTTGCTTCTGTACTCTGGATATGTTCACTTCAAAATCACAGAGTACTTACTCCCAGTTATTGCATTTAACATATGACGGAGAGAAATGTTTTCTTATGCTCCAAGTGCTGTGTAATTACAGGGTTTATTTCACCTATTTCTATGTGTCATCTTGTCTGATCATCCCTGTGAATCTTCTACATAGAGCATTCAAAATCATCATCAGCTCTGAGAAAGTTCACTGTAATTTGCTAAAATGAAGTGTAAAAGAAAAACTCAATTCCACTTTTTCATTTAATTTTAACATTAGTTTCTGTGTTTCAGGAAATGGGACTGGTTACTTTAATCAGCATTAAACTATGATTTCCAAAACCCTGGAGGCAAGGAAGCTATATTGAGGGATGTTTTCATGGATCTTTGTTTCAAAATACAAATATTACATGGTAAGCATGGTCACAATACAAATCATATTTCTGCCATTGACTCACTAAATGAGTTCTGAAGTCCTGATCTCTCACTCTCTCTCAACACCCTCATCTGCAAAATTGTAATGGTACTTCCTTACTTCAGAGCAGCGCTGTAAAGATTATTTAGTAAAACATTTGCTCAAGGTTCAGAAAATACTAAGCATTGGGTATTATGAATTATGTGCCAACTTCTCTTAAGATGCAGTAAAGCCCGAGTGAAGTGCTTTGTAGAAAATCCTCATTGTGCACTTCTGTAACCATTTCGAATAAGGTTATCTTCATAGAGCATTGTATAGTAAAAAAATCACTCATCGCTTAGCATTTTCTGCTTAAACTATCATCTATTAGCTGTGCTAAACATGGCACTGATTATAAAGAAATCAAACTGCATGTCAAGTAGTAGTCCCTATAGCTAGAAAAGAAGTTAGAAAATCTATAAAAATTATTGCTACTTCTTGCTTTCCAAGCTTTGGTTGAGAAAACTCACGCAGAACTCTCCCTGCAGTTAAGGACCACAATAGAAACTGGTGACAGAAACAACTGACTGAGGAAACTATTCTTTCCTACAGCTCCAGCTCAGCAAGCACTGAGCAGGGGATCATGTCCCTCGTCATTAAGACAGCATATAAGCATGTGATTAACTTGCAGAATTGTCGCCATAAGCCCATGGATAACTGCTGTCTCGAACAAAGACCATAAACAGCCCTAATTTGTCAGTGTCCTTTAGACAGGTATATTTGGATTCACGTAACACATCAACCAAACTACACAGAGTTCTGTCAGGTAGCGATGACTGACCTCATGGAACTGACCGCTCTAGTGGTCCACTATTTTGCATTATGTGATTATTTTACAATATACACAGAAGTACCTAAAAAGTACCCTGTACCCTCCTCCTTCCCGAGCCCTCATGAAATGTGGTTGATTAGGTGTCGCCCCCCAGTTTTCATTCAGTGATCTTGTGTAAATGCTTTTCTGCATGCTATCCAGAAAGCCCACATGCTGTCTTGTGAAACATTTCTGATTTCATAATGTTGAATATCCCATCACTTCTGGCTTGCAGCATGAAGCTCTTCCTCAGCCAAAGCAGCTACTCCTTAGGTGCTTTGTGAAGAAGTCTGGGCATCATATTTCCTAAAACTGTGTCTTCGAAAAGATTCCCTGCAATGAAATGGATCCATAAATAACGTTGGCAAATGAAAAAGAATCCAAGAAATACCTGCCTTGTGAAAACGAGCAGCAGCTGACAAATCATCAGCTGTTATGTGTTGGCAGTATATTCCTTCTTCCACTCCTACCCACACTGGACACAGTGGCTTTGTGAAAAAGCATACACTCATTAACCAAGAGCCTAAGTTAAGACTCTTCTGTCTCAGTCATGGGACTAAACTTGATTATGTTATCTGGGAGTGAAAGGACCACTCTTACTTAATGCTGGCTAATAGCACATGGAGCCACACACTCAAAAAACCCACATACCTGTTCTATCTCCTTCCTGGCTTCACTTGTGAGGAAATGGAAAGATGTTTCCGGTACTTTTTTGCAAGGCAAGGGAGAAGTCTTCTCTAACAATGTATTTAATTAACATAAACCCTCTACCCCAGGAATGAGCAACTTAAGGAACACAGTCAATACCGCATTCAGCTCCAGTGGAAGTCAGCAGACTTCTTTAATCAAGTATGAAGTTGGCAGTGTATATATTATGGCCTTGCTTTACCTGCCTGCAAAACTGCCTTTTTTCCTTGCAAAAATGGCACCTTTTTTAATAGCTACAACAGACTACCCTGCCCTAATTGTACCTTGTGCTGTGGACTTTCATTACAGGTTTGTACAGTTGTGCAATCTTCCTCTCAATCATGGGCCTAAGATTCTCCTTCAGCTTCCCGTAGTTCTTCCTGAGCTCTAGCTGATATTCCTGCTGGTCAGCAGTAATAAGGCGCTTATTCTTCTCCACTGCTTCACCACACCTAGGCAAAAGGAAAGAGAAAAGGAGTGACATGGATGACCTACTTCTGTTAAACACATTAACTCTGAGTTAGGTAGCCTGAATGGCCTAGGGTCCAGCTCCTCTGGGCTAGGCATTCCTTTGATAACTTGTCAAGTCCAAAATGATAATGAACTAAGAAGGAACCTCTGACTTTTCCAAGTAGACAAATTCAAATGATATTTTAAAGACATTAGAAATGCATGAGGGAGCTAATAAAAACTGAGTTTAATCACTGCAGAATACTGAGCTACCTTCCTACTTGCTGTGAACAGATGCAAAGACAATAGCATGGAGTAAAGGCTGTACCTTCTGCATAAGGCTCATTTTTATTTAACTCAAACTTATCCTTCAGCAATTATGCTTTGTTTTGAATAAGGAGATGAATACCTTGCTATGCGGATATGGTAGTTAAGATTTACAAGGGTGTCTAAAAAAAATGCCAAAATGTGTCTATCACTGCCAATGTGTCTGCTTGACAGATAGGGTCAAGTGTTTTCTTACGAACAGCTTCCTACATAGAAATGTCATTTTATTAAAAACAAGCTGAAAGAGCTAGACTTGTTCAGCCTGAAGAAGAGAAGGCTGCAGGGAGACCTTGTAACAGTCTCCCAATACCTAAAAGGGGGCTTACAAGAAATCTGGAGAGTGACTTTTTACAAGGGCATATATTGGACAAGGGGCAATGGCTTTAAACTGAAAGAGGGCAGATTTAGATTTGATACTGAAAAAATATCTTCGAGAGCAGTGAGACACTGGCACAGGTTGCCCAGAGAAGTTGTGGATGCCCCATCCCTGGCAGTGTTCAAGGCAAGGCTGGGCTGGGCTTTGAGCAGCCTGGTCTAGTGGAAGGTGTCCCTGCCCATGGCAGGGGCATAGAACTAGATGATCTTTAAGTTTCCTTTCAACCCAAACCATTCTATGATTATAAAAGAAAGGCAATAACCAGGAATGTTTGGTTTCTGTAAAATGTCAAAAGATGTAACAAATGGAAGATCATAATTTATACATAATTACTTTGAAGTATTAAAATTTGCTTCCTTTTGGGATGCTAAGCCAACCAAAGCATTACCATGAAGCAGATATAACATGTCTGAACAGAGCGTCTGAAGTATGAGATGCCAGGATTCATGACGCTAACTTGCATAATTAATCACACAGTCATATTATAATTATTGTGATTATTTGTTTTATTGATGCAACTCAACATTTATTTATTTATTTATGTATTTTACTGACCTCATTATAAATTCTTTGAAGCACAACCTCAGCTTGTTGTGATGTCGGTAAAGTTTGGGGTCTGCTGGAATTTCAGCCAGGAACACTTGTGCTACCTCTAGTGGTCCCTTATAGGAATAACAAAGGAAAATGTCAAAACCACCCAAACACGTTTGGTTAAGCTGTTTGTTATTTCATGTGCAGAATAATGAAAAAAACCCTATGTATAGTCACCATAACAGGATGTTCCTTCCACACCCCCTCCCCCCAGTTTTTCCTTTGGGAAGTAGAAGTGTTGTCCATCATATTTTATCCTCTCTTGTTTTTATTTCTCCTCCATTCCCACAGAAAAAGGGTCAGATTCTGCACAGCAAAGAGAAGCTGGATAGCTGTACTGCTAAACCTGGTTACATGAGAAAAATACAGCTCCTTTGTGTAGCCTGACAAGACCCCAAGGGAGTTAAGTAGACCCAGCCCAGAAAAGGACCAGTCTTTCCAAAGTTCGTAACACTCAGGTCTTGACTTCATGTATTTTCTGAAAAAATACGAGTTTGTGGTGGTCCTAGAGCTGAATTGTTGTCATTATTCCATTCCTGAAGGATACACCTTGAGTGAACAAAATGGCTGGTATGGCTAGTTTCCTAGAACTGGAAAATCCTTGGATGCATTCACAAGTTTTCTTTGAGTTTCTGCACCTACAACCAAGACAGCAGTTCCACAAACATTTTCATCAGAAGCATCCTTAATGAGCAGTATACAGTGACTAATATCAAGGGATTATGTTTAAATGCGCATTGTGATTAAATGTGTCTTACTAGATTTATTTCATCCAGTGCAAGAGATGAGAGCGAAAAAGAAAGCACAATGAAAAGAAGTATGCAGAAACTCTTCATCTGGCTTACGTGGATCCCTTACCTGATTTACAGTGGCTCCAACTGAGCCCTGTAAAACCATCTGGAGCATTTTGGCATCTGGTGGCTCTTGGTTGGTGGCTGCAGTTAGTTCCTGTGTTTTTTTCTGCATATCTTCAATAGCAACTTCAATGGGGGTTAAAATAAACTAATGGAAATGGGAGGAAAAAGTGCTCCATTACCTGAATCATGCATGCAGTTGACCTGTTCCAAATCTGGCAATATCCCTATCATTTTCCTCTGCCAAAAGCTGTGAAACCCAGGAAGACTATTCAACCTAAATGTCATCTTGGTACATGCTGCACCTGAAACAAAGCTCTTTGACATCTTATAATCTGCAAGAATAGAATGTGAATCCAATTCCCTTTTTGCACAAATTTGTTACCATTCTAAGTTACTGACTTTATGTCTGAAATGGTTTTGCACTTTCTACCTTTATAAAGTTTCTCTGTCTCTAAACCACCTCTGAGCCCTATGTAGATCTGTGACTATACTTTATCTGTTAGAAATACAGCCATTAATATTTCTTCACACATCCTCCTACACAGCATTACAACCAGGAGGTCAAAAAGAATACACACTTGCTATACTCTCTTCTCCATAGTAAATACCCACTCTGCATTTGTCTACCTATTTTATGCCATTCCTACTTATGAGTAACACATCTGGGAAATTCAGCCTTCTTCTGCTAAGAATGTAATTTAAAAATCTTCCCACACAGAGACTCCCTCAGCCCCTGAGAAATTAGATCTGTCCTCAAAACACAATTACCTCTTCTTTTTGGATGACACTGATCCTAGTTTTGATGTAGGGGAAAGCATGCATTGTGGTTAGGATGGTGTTCCTCTTGTACTGCTCGCTAAGCTCTCCTCTGGGGCGCCCGTCCATGGTGAAAGGTGTAGTGTACATGAACCGACAGAGGTTGAAGTTCTTCTCAAAATATGTTACCCTGTCTTTCATCTCATACTCATCAAAATATGGCTCCACAAAAGTAATTTGTATGTATGCCTAAGAAAAGAAGGAAGAACCATTACAGCACTTTACAACCCAAGAAATGTAAAAAGAACAGCATATGTGAAATATCCTGTAGCTCATGTTGGCTAAGCATATTGCTGTACAGAGCTGCAAATTCTTCAGGGCTCCTTTTCTTCTTCAGAGCTGACAAAACTCAACTCTGGGGAGGGAACAGCTTAACCTGGAGGATCAGAGCTAGAGCAGGGACCAGAGATCAGAACTTCTAATTTCCACACTCTGTGGCAAACTACCAAACTAAGCCTTTCATAGAGGCTTTAAGGATGTCTCTGGGCATAGAGATACTGCCAAGATGTGGGGTTTTTTGCTACCTTAATGTTTGAGCATAAACATTTCAAAGGGACCCCTTCTCTTCCTTTCTCTTGTGTAACTGATCATTCAGCACTCTCAGTAGTACTTTCCCTACCTTATTGGGATCCAGCTTTCTTTTGTCTACAGGAGCAGAGTCCTTGATCACTTCCACAGCATCCTCCCCAAAACACTGGCCATAAAATCCCTGGAAGAGAAACAAGAGTTATCCTGGAGTGGTTTTAGTCCTTAATACAATGCTAACGATGTGTATGTCTGTAAGAGAAGGGAGTAACCATGATAATTTCTGGGCTCTGTAGAGTTGGCTTCATGAACCACAGCTGGCCAGGCTAAGGCATCTTCTGACAAAGATCAGTGTAAGTTGCTCACAAAAAAAAGAGAACTAGAGGTAAAGTGATCAGAAGAGAACATTGCAGTTCCATGAAAAAGCTGAGAAGATACGAAAGCAAGTATCTAGAATGCTTAAATCAAATAATTAGATATATTTACAGGCCTGCCCACAACAGACATGGCTTCAAAAACATGGATCACTTTCATCATTATGCTGTAAAAAGGGCTGCAATGGAAAGGACGCACACAAAGGAAATAATCTTAGGTACTAATCAGTTTGTTACTGATTTTTATATAGTAATAATACTATTAGAACTGTGTGGGTTCATTAGAAATTATAAAATAACATGGAGATCATATTAACACAACATTTTTTCTCTACCTCTAATCTGTGAGAAATCTCAGGAAGCTTGGTAATTGCAGGCTCCTTATAAACAAATTCCTGTTCATCCAAGTCTCCAAATTTGGATCCATAGAAACCAACACGAAAGTAAGTTCCAAACATTCGCTTTTGACCCTAATTGATAAAAAGAAAGACGAAATTTACTTTTTTTTTATATCAACAGTGTATTATTTTGATGCCTTTCCCCCCCAATTTATGTATAAGAAAACCCACTAATCCTATGTTTTTCCTATTCAGAGCCAGTTCTATGCATCACCAGTGCTGATGGATTACAAGTACATATTAATGAAGGAAAACATACATATTAAGGGGACTTTTGACTGAAATCTATTTTAAAATATGGGCTAATCATGAAGTGGCTTTTGCAAAACAAAGTTATTTTTTAATTTCATTGGATAGATGTGAACAAAATTAAAATTTTGCAGCGAAAGTTGGTAAGAATTTGAAACTGGATTCTTCCGAAGAAAGAGAAGGAAAGGGGCAGTATGAGTGCTGAGAATTTAGCCAGGTTTTTGTATTTCTTCAGTTTTATAACAGAAAACACCAGTAAATTGACAATATTTTGCTTAAATAGATGTGGCCAGGAGGAATAATCCATGTTCTAAGTTTGACCTGTTCAGCTATTTTTCTGTGACTCTAAACCAGTTTTATACTAAACTATGCTTTTTCCTACACAGAGAATAGAGCCTCTTTTCACTATACACTACCTTTTGTAGGTAGATCAAAGCAGATGGAAGCTTTTGTTAGGAAAAGGAAATGGATCTATTTGACATGAACAGTTTTATTATCACCAGTCTTAGACAAACAGTGCAACCCAGTAATGTGTCTTGCTAGCAGCACCTTGCTTCATGAGTACCTTATTAATAATGCTGTCAAAGGCCTTCTGTAGCTTGCTGTGTGTCAAGGTAAGCTTCCTGAAGTCTCGATGTGCTTCTAGTATGGGGATGACAATTTTGTACACCTCATTCACAGTTTCATACAATCCACCCTTGGGAGAAAAAAATGAAGGAAAGAATAGAATAAAAGAAATGAACCCTCATGCACTCTGAAAAGAAACTAGATTTCCATTAATGGCCTGGCTGAAGACGGGATTTATGGGATTTACCTTTTAATCTGCTATGTTACTTGATCTAGCTTTCTAAAAACTAGTAATAGTAAATGGGTAGTTCTGAACTGCAAACCACAAGCTAGATCTAATTTGGAAGTCTGATTTGTTGGGCTCTCAAGACCAAATTCCTGTGTAAAACACATGGTTTCTGCATCGGGCTAGAAGAGTTAGAAATGCAGGCGAGCAGAAAAAATTTGATTTGTTCAGCATGCGTGGTTGCGGGCAACCAGAGCTGCATCTGGACAGAAAGAACCCAAATGATATCTTTGGAGATATTAAATCATATATCCTCTTCAGTACTAGAGGAATATGATAAGATACTTGAGCATTAATATCATGACTCTTTAAATGGTAAGTGCAGATTATGGTGGCTGGTTGTATGCTGTGTAAAAGCACAGGAGTAACTCATGTGCTTTCTAAAATCTATAGTTTAAACAAGATATTTTTCCAGGAATGTACTGTCCCATGAAAATACCATTCAAAAGGCTTGATTCATTCCTGGGACAATCACTTTCTGCTAATGTTGCCTGTAGTCTGAACAGTAGAGGTGGTTATACGGCTGAGCTGGGCTGGGTCAGGTCTAAAATGTGTCTCTGCCTCTTCTCTAGTTGTTTTCAGCAGGGCAGATGTGTGGAGCCTGGTTTAGCAGTAAGACTTTGTTTCTTCATGTACTGGAAAATAAGCTATGGATCTGGCCTATATATCCCCACTCCACCTCCAGGTGATTCTGGCCCTTACCGTGCTGAAGAGCTCTGCTGCTTGTTCCAGCAGCCCTACCAGGCCACTTTCCGAGAAATACCTTCCAGAACATATACCATCTTCATCTGGAGATAAAACATCATCTGAAACAGCAGATTCCTCCAGCACATTGGGTGAAATGTTCTAAAATACATCAGAACAGAGGAATCAGAAACCTAGATCAATAATCTATCATAAAGATTGAGGCAGTTTTAACATATTTACGTGACAGGAAGAAGAATGAGATTATAAAAGTGCACCCAGGGGTTACACAGTTAAATTCCATTTAGAAGCAAATAAAACACCATAAATCTCCCCAGATGGCAGATCAGGAGTTTCACTACAAGAATGCTAAACTTTCCTTCTCGCCTCAGGTTTAAAAGGCAGACTCCTGTAGGTCACAAACCGTCCCCCCTCTGGTGTCTGGGATTTCCATGGAGCTGCAATGAGCTCAGTCCCCCACGCCGCAGGGGTTACAACCAGTGTGTCCTTCCTGCTGTTGGAGCCTGGGTGTGGGAAATTCCAGACTGCACCCCAGACCTCCTGCCACCTGCTTGAAGTTGAACATCCAAATTGTTGATTTGACTTTTGAAGCGGAGAAGTAGGGCATAGACAATATTGCTGTAAAACCTGCAACAACTGAATGCTGTTTCTAGGTCAGCTTCTGTGGTATTACACCTTGATCCTGCACAATTTACTTGGTTTCTTGTTAAATTTACTGACCTTAACACGTGTTTAAATAAATCTAGTTAAAGTACACAGTGTCAGCCACTCTTCGAAATTCTAGACCTCAAAATAACCTGTGTGCAGTTCTTCAGGATCCCTCTGAATAAATGACACTGGGTAAAATCAACATTAAAAATTTTATAATGCATAGAAATACATGTAAATGAACAGTAAAATAGGTGTACCTACAGCATGGAACTAGCATATGTAACTTTCAACAGCAGCAGAAGTACTAAGCTTCGATTTGCTAGTAATTAAAAGGAGTTAAATTAGTGTCTTAGCGTCTCACTTCAGCAGAAATTGCCAACGACAATCTGTCTGAGTGCAGGATAGATGCCAGCTGGCTAGCTAGCCGAGTCCTTAAAGACATCTTTATAAAATGGCAAAGACACTGAGGGCTGTTACTATTGATCAGATTTCAGATAAAGAATTGGTACCACACATCACTAGCAACACGGGACTTCCCTCCTTGTGTTTTGTGGATGTCCTTATTTCTCCATGGGTGAAATTTACTCCAGCCAGGCTACTGTCCCAGTGCCTAGTTTGCACATCACATCAGCTCCACTGGAAGGGTGAGCACAAAGCTCACTCAGGGCAGCATTCACAGGAGTTAAGAATATGTCTAAATTTCAGCCAGAGGGAAAACTGCAGTGCATTTTAGCACACACATAGCACTTTTTACCTACCAGTCTCATTGAAGACAGTGACTTCAAACAGACTCAATCTCCCTCACGCATACCTAGGGCAACTCATACAGCCCATGCTGCAGCTCATTTTCTGGTTTTCCCTTTCTGTGACAGTAGCCATGAAGAACAGTTTTTGCAGAATCAGAAGGGCATGTGGCCTTCCATTTTTTTTTTTTTTTTTTTTTTGGCAACAAAGAGACAAGTGTCCAGAAAGTAATTTATTTATGAAAGTAATCAAGAAAGCCACAGACACCAATTTCCTCTTCTTTGCCTTTCAATCTAAAATAAGTAATGTCATGTATGTATTTCCATGTTTTACAGTCCAGGCACTGTAGCAGGAGAAAGCCTTCATGACATGCCTCTGGAATTTCCATGATCTTTTGGAAAGTGGACATACCTCACCCACCTTTTACCTTGATCTGCCCTTCAAAGTGAAGAATTTTATATGCACCTTGTACACTATAGGCAATATGTAAGTTACCATGCGTATCATCAGCAATTACTTTGGACATCACAAGCCTGGATTTCATAGAATCATAGAACAGTTCGGGTTGGAAAGGATCTTAAGATCATCTAGTTCCAACCCCCTGCCATAGGCAGAGACACCTCACACTGAACCATGTCACCCAAGCCTCTGTCCAGGAAAAGAAAGGAAAGAAACATTTGTGTAAAACCAAGGGAATTTACTGTGATCCCCAGCCCTTATCACTGTGTTAGATAGGGATAGGGTAGCCTGCCACCTAGATCCCCAGAACAGCACAGCTGATTTAGGCTACCGCTAAGCCCAGGCTAATTAACCTTCAGTATGGCAGTCACACACACCAAGTCGTTGTCTGTGGTAATATAAAGTGGCATTAAGGTCAGTCTATATGCAATTCATACTCTAAATCTGCCTTATCACATGCAAAGGCTATTTAGTGTAAACACAAATTAAGCTCAAAGGGAATTTCACTGAAAGTGATCCTGTTCTGATTTTAAGGGATAGTTTTGATTTCACAGCACAGAGGGACGCATACACATTTTAGTCTGGAACAGTAAACGGAAAAGTTTTACTCCACTGACCATCATACAGAGTAAGCTGCAGAAGACCTAGGTCAAGTGATTTAATCTTTTGCTGCCTCATTTTACTAATCTGTGGAAAGCAGATAACACTTTTTCTCATCCGAATTAATATTTTAAAATACATATTATCATAACCCTCAATTCCACAATTAAATGTATATCACCAGTATTAGCTGATTTAATATCTGACCTAAATGAAGAAATGGACACAGAAGGAGTCAGTTGAGTGAGACCTGGAACGCCAGGTAAAGCTGAGAATAATGTTTCTCTTTTGTAACAGCTTAATCTGAACAAGATTTTCACAGGTGCTACAGAACACAAACCTGTTGTGGCAGCTCTTCTCTGGGAAGGCTTTGTAAGAAATGCAAGGTGTTATTATAGTTAATTATTGTTATTGAGCAAACTGAAATTCAAAATTATGCTGTCAGAGAAGGAGTTGTGTAATTGCATTTCTGGTCATTAAGCTATTTATTACCTTTCTACTGTGGAGCAACTGTTTCTTTGGCAAACATGCATTCACGCAAGCATTTTGATGAGAGGAAAATACTTACTGCTTTTAAAATTGTAAGTTTTTGCTTGCTTCATGCCTTGTAGGATAGTTCTTTAAAATAACTGAAAACATACCCATTCAATCTGGAGCAATGTAAGGAGGAATTGCATTAGGGTCAAATGTGCAATATTACAACCATTCAAGGCAATCTGGGAGCAGGATGACATTGAGAAGGGAATGCAGATTTCACCCATAATGATGGTAGTGTTTAAGAAGTAAGGAGAAAAGAAGAACATAGAAGTAATGAATAGAAGTTACAAGTTCGGAACAATACAAAACTAATAAGGGATGCAAAATGGCAGAAGTATAAATCCATGGCCAGAAAGCTGTAAAAAGAGTATATATAGCTATTTAAGAGTAAAGGAATTTAAGAATAACACTAGTTCATTGTTTGATTGCTAAGGTGGAACTGCAAATACTAAATCCCAGCATACAAAATTTAATGCAAAATGCCAACCAGTTAAATCATGTTCACATTTACTGTTCTGAAGGGGAAAATAAAAACCTCCCGGTGGTATTGTTATTTACAATTTTGAAGGAAAAAAAAAAAACAGGTGGTACAGTTATATCAAGGGATGATGAATGTACCAGCTATTAGTGTTAGCCATTTCAAAATCACCTGAACCATAAAATGTGCTCTCAAGATCTTAAAAGAGCTAAGCAAAAGTGTATCCAGGGCAGCCAATACTGAGTTGCCATATGTTTTATAAAACTGGGGAAGTCCCAGAGGAGGAAATATGCTTTGGGGACCAAAATTTTTTAAGTTAACAAGATGATGGTTAGAACGGTGGTGCCATAGTTAGGGGTTTGGGTATCTAGAACATGGGACTCAGTTTAGGGCGCCAGGTCTACTGGGTGCTGGTGAAGCTGGTCTGACAATGAGAGAGAAGAGTGATTTTGGCAGGAGGCTTGCCAGACTGGTCAAGGATGCATGCTTTAAACTAGATGTGTTAGGGGAGAGGGGCATCATTCCATTCCAAGACTCCCAGCCCGTTGCCAGCACCTATAATAAATGCTCAGAGAAATGTAGAGATATCCCAGCCGCTCCAGCCAGTGAGCCAGCTTCATTTGGAGCTCGGCTCAGATGCCTCTATACAAATGCCTGTAGCATGGGGAACAAACAAGAGGAATTAAAGATGTGTGCATGTCTACGGGGGTATGATATAATTGGCATCACAGAAACATGGTAGGATGGCTCCTATGACTGGGGTGTTGGAATGGAAGGTTACAGGCTCTTTAGGAAGGACAGGCCTGGCAGGTGGGGAAGGGGAGTTGCCCTTTATGTTAGGGGTAGGCTGGAGAGTTTGGAACTCTGTCTGGGGACAGGTGAGCAGTCCACAGAGAGTTTGTGGGTCAGGGTTAAAGGGAGAACAGTGATGGGAGACATTACTGTGGGGATCTGTTACGGACCGCCTGATCAAGGAGAACCCGAGGATGAAGCACTCCATAGACAGATAGGAAAAGCCTCATGCTCACAGGCCCTTGCTCTCATGGGGGACCTCAGCCACCCTGACATCTGTTGGAATGATGGTAAGGCCCAGCACAAGTAATCCAGGAGGTTCCACGATTGTGTGGAAGACAACTTCCTTCTGCAAGTAATAGAGGAGCTGACAAGGAGAGGTGCCGTGCTTGACCTCGTGCTCACCAACAGGGAAGGGATCGTTGGAAATGTGACTCTCCAGGGCAGCCTTGGTTGTAGCAATCACGAGATGGTCGAATTTGAGATCCTCAGGACAGTGAGAAGAGTGTGCAGCAAGCTCACTGACCTGGACTTCAAGAGAGCAGACTTTGGCCTCTTCAGGAACATGCTTAGTAAAGTTCCATGGGATACAGCCCTAGAGGGCAGGGGGGCCCAAGACTGTTGGTTGATATTCAAGGATCACCTGCTACAAGCTCAGGAGTGTTGCCTCCCAACCAGAAGGAAGTGCAGCAGGAGGGCCAGGAGACCTCCTTGGATGGATAAGGAGCTCCTGAGGAAACTTAGAGAGAAAAAAGAAGGTTATAAAAGGTGGAAACAAGGACAAGTGGCCTGGGAAGAATACAGGGATGTTGTCTGGGAAGCAAGGGACCAGGTTAGGAAAGCTAAGGCCCAGTCAGAATTAAACTTGGCTACAGATGAGAAAGATAACAGGAAGGGATTCTATGGTTACATTGCAAATAAAAGACAGACTAGGGAGAACATGGGCCCTCTCCAGAAGCTCTCAGGAGAACTGGCTACACAGGATTTGGAGAAGGCTGAGGTTCTGAATGACTTCTTTGCCTCGGTCTTCACTGCCAAAGGCTCTGACTGCACCACCCAAGTCTTGGAAGGCAGAAGCAGGGGCTGTGAGAATGAAGACCTTGCGCCCACTGTAGGAGAGGAACTGGTTCGAGACCATCTTAAGAACCTGAACGTGCACAAGTCCATGGGACCTGATGAAATCCATTCACGGGTCCTGAAGGAGCTGGAGAATGAAGTTGCTAAGCTACTGTGCATCATATCTGAAAAATCATGGCAGTCAGGTGAAGTTCCCAATGACTGGAAAAAGGGAAACATAACCCCCATGTTCAAGAAGGGAAAATGGATGACCTGGGGAACTACAGACCAGTCAGTCTCACCTCTGTGCCTGGCAAAATCTTGAAGCAGATTCTCCTGGAAGGCAGGCTAAGGTACATGACACCAAGCTGTGTGGTTCAGTTGATACCCTGGAGGGAAGGAATGCCATCCAGAGGGACCTCAACACACTTGTGAGGTGGGCTGATGCCAACCTCATAAAGTTTAACTATGCCAAGTGCAAGGTCCTACACCTGGGTCGGAGCAATCCCAGGCACAGCTACAGGTTGGGCAGAGAAGAGATTCAGAGCAGCCCTGAGGAGAAGGATTTAGGGGTTTTGGTCAATGAGAAAATGAACATGAGCTGGCTGCAGTGTGCACTTGCAGCCCAGAAAGCCAACCGTATCCTGAGCTGCATCAAAAGGAGCGTGACCAGCAGGTCGAAGGAGGTGATCCTGACCCTCTACTCTGCTCTCATGAGACCTCATTTGAAGTATTGTGTGCAGTTCTGGTGTCCTCAACATAAAAAGGACATGGAACTGTTGGAACAAGTCCAGAGGAGGCCACGAAGATGATCAGGGGACTGGAGCACCTCCCATATGAAGACAGGCTGAGAAAGTTGGGGCTGTTCAGCCCAAAGAAGAGAAGGCTGCGTGGAGACCTCATAGCAGCCTTCCAGTATCTGAAGGGGGGCTATGAGGATGCTGGAGAGGGACTCTTCATTAGAGACTGTAGCGATAAGACAAGGGGTAACGGGTTAAAATTTAAACAGGGGAAGTTTAGATTGGATGTAAGGAGGAAATTCTTTCCTGTAAGGATGGTGAGGCACTGGAATGGGTTGTCCAAGGAAGCTGTGAATGCTCCATCCCTGGCGGTGTTCAAGGCTGGGTTGGGCAGACCCTTGGGTGACATGGTCTAGTGTGAGACAGCCCGCCCATGGCAGGGGGGTTGGAACTAGATGATTTTAAGGTCCTTTCCAACCCTAAGTATTCTATGATTCTATGAGCAGATAGTGGTAGATTTATCAGACTGCATCCAGGACAATCCAGAAACACTGATACAAAATGTTACTAAAGAAAAGATTAAAACTATCATTATTAATCTGAATCAACACCAGATTATAGAAACTCGATACTTTCAAAAAGTTTAAAATTTCATAAAGAAAATGTTCCCAAACATTATCTATGCAACATCTGAGTTGATTCTGCAAGACATTTCCACTAATTATTTGGAATGATTCATAATCATTGCAGCAAACACTCTGTATGGCCTTCACTGTCCCAGAGAATAATGAGGAATCATCAACACACAGGAATATTTTAAGGGTTCAGCCATTTCTATTTTTAATAATGTGTGGAAAAAAGTAAAATCATGAAATTTGCAGTTGAGGTTAGTTCAGGTAGGGGTAACCAAAACTGCATAATCTGATAAACTACATCCAAATATCTGCATTTTGAATTGTCTAACAATACTTAGAAAGAGTTCAGCTTTCATCTACATGATGTAGAAGAGAGGGCTGAAAAAAAAAAACACACAAGAAAACTCTCTGGAAATGATCATTGTATTACTGAGTAAAGAGCTCAGCAATGCCAAAAGAACCAGTAAAGTCTTTGGAATGATAAACTAAAAGATACTTGCCAGACTGAAAGAACTTAGGGGACATTTCTAGTTGACTTTGATGTGACTGCACATAGCCAATGGTGATTGTGTCATTCATCAATCAAGAGGGTGTTGGTTAGTAATTGAATGACAGTCAAAAGATCAGAGAACATGCCTAAAAGAACTGAGTAGCTCCAATTACCTAGATTATGAGAAAGAAGCTTGAGAGATGCCATCTGTTGCAGCTGATAAGTAACAGACCTAGGAAAAAGCATGGGTTCCACTTAGCAAAGAAGAGATTATAGTAGCCAACTGCTGGAAATAGGAAACAGACGGATACTAAAGGACTAGTTTTCAGTATGCATAAATAATTGGGAAAATGTACCAAGTGGTAATGAATACTTTGTAACTTTTCCTCTCCATACATGTGCTTCTACTCTGTTTAACACAAGAAGGAATACACACAGGAGAACAGGCCATCTCAGCCTTATGCTGTCATAGCCTGGGAGCCTTTTCTTACCTGAAAGTTGACACTGCCCACTGGGAGATAGCTTCTATCTTCAAGCATGCTGAGGTACTCTGCTACCAGTGCTGCAGCATGGACCAGACACATGGCTGCTTCTGTGTAGCACTTCCTCTTGGTGTGTTTCTCTGCCATGTTCTGCAGCCAAGTGAGCCTCAAGTCAGGTGATGTCTGGTACCCTTTGGCAATCCTAACAACATGGGGCAGAAAGGAGGTGTGAACGATCACTTCTTCTCAACGCAAAGAACCTTTATAATTCTTGACCTGGGTTGAATAGAAGGAGACATCTCTGTCTTTATTCTGTATGATTCACTAAACAAAGGGCAAAAGAAACGGTTATGCAGTGGTAGGCAGGCCACACAGGGGCCTATGATGAGAGTAAAACTGCTGAACCGAAGACTGTTCAGTGTTCACCAGTCCCTGACTTCCATTCTTGCCCAAGTCTATGCCCACCTCCCAATAGCTCCACTGCAATAGTATCATTCCTCCAGTCTGGGCACCCTGTGACAGACCAGCTGCACTAAAGTGGGAATATACACAAACAGAACAGCTAGAGGGTTTGTACACAGCCTGTTCGTAAAATGCACAGTTGTTGTGCTCACCTCACTGCAACACATTTCTAAATGGATTCACCTGTACATGAGATCCATGAGCATCTCCGGATCTTCCTGGAATTCCTTCATTTTCACTGTATCTGACAGGATGCTGTTCAGATTACACAGCAGCTCCTCTACCTGCAGTAAAACAAAGAATAACACGCATTTCTCAGGTGTTTCTTTTTTCCCCTTCTAGAAAAATAACAGCATCTGACCAAATGATGTAACTTTTAGTCCCTCTTACCCAAGAAAATGTCAGGATGCTGAGCTAGTACAAGATAAGTTTTTCCAACTTTATTCAATGCAAATATAGCAGATCTTATATTTTGCTTCATCAAAATGAGCTGGAATTCTTTCATCTGTTTATATTGGAATGAAAAAAAATCAAAGCTATGTGCTAATGGAGTCCAGCTTTAGTCTATCTGTGATATGATAACAAAGCAGATGTTTTTACAAATCTTCAGCTCAAGCTGAGTTACAGTAAGAATTTTAGCAAAGCTTCTGACAGTTGTCTGAAATATTTTTCATTACTGCTGCTGCCACCACCTTATGAATGGACAAAGGGAAAGAAGTTTCCATGAAGCTATTTGTCTTCAAACACAAATCAAATTCTCCCTTGGGAAACTCTTAGAGGCTACAGTTCCTGCTGGGATTTATAAGACAGTTGTACACAAAACTAAGAGATGATTCTCCTGTAATATGATTTCAATAGAACTCTTGGGAGTTTATTTTATGGAATTATGCCCTCCATTTCTTCCCTGCTTATTGTTTTGTCAGAAATAAACTCATGCAATAACCCCTGCATCCTTATTTTCATTGCTTTGGAAAACCAAGATCTAGGACTTGCTCCAAGCATATTCTTATGTGAAAGCTCCTGATAAAACCCACAGACGTCATAGAAGATTTGACCTGAATGGGAAATGGAGTTGCCTGCATATCTGCATCTTCCTCTGCATAGGCTAGGATGGTTCGTAAGGACCGACGAAGGAATTCCTCATTAAACTCGGGTGATTTTCCAACCAGAGAGGCTAGTGACATGGTCATCTGCATCTTCACTCTTGCAAAATTCTTTTAGAAGAAAAGACAAAAACATGAAAGAATGATGGCTGCACCATACATATCAGTTCATATATCTCTGCTACTGTATAAATCATATCCACTTTCTCTTGCCCACACCAAGCATGTTAAAGTCACCGTTCACACAAGCAGTCTCTGGTACATCAAAGCCTTTCCTGTTTTACCTGTTTAAGACAAAGTTCCCTAATTCTGACATGTCTGTATTTTGGGGAAAGAATGTTTCTTGGAATACATATTCTCACTTGAAACAAGGGGAAATCAGAAGCTTCTCTTTCCCCCACTGCACTGGCCAGTGGGTGTGCAGATCAGGTCACCCACAGAGAAGAAGGAGAAGAACATTCTGGAAACAATTCTGGGAGGCAAAAGGCCTCTGAAGGCTTCACCTGGTGATGCACTATGCCTTGCTGAACACGGTGTCTCAGAGGCATATTTTCCTTCTGCAAGGCCAGCACTTTTTACATATTCATGGCTTTTAAAGTAAAAACTGGGGAAGAAAATGCTCTGCAAGATAGGATGCTATCCACAATGCTAATGCATGTCCTTTCATGTTAGGACATTGTGAACCTACTTGCCTAATATACATAGTTTGCTCCGTATGTATGCCAAGGATCAGAACCTAGCCCAAGGCCACCAAAGAATTCCCATTAAGGCAGCATACAGTAGCTGTACTGAGGTTGTAATTGCACTGGAATAGAACTAGTCTAAGTTTAAGCGACACAGGAGTAAGAAAAAAAAAGTGATAAAATGAAGGGTATTGCTCATGCGTTGTATAGCCCTTTTATCAGAGGCCTAATGCTGTCCCATTTAAAGATGCATTTACAGATGTTTCAGAACACATTTTCCTGAACAAAATAATAAACACCAATTGAAACTACCTTCCACTTACAACTCTAGCACTTCTTCTGGATCAAATGTGCAAAACAGCATAACGCATGACTATTCATCTGCAGATGTGTTCCATTTGCTATCACAACTTCAGGTTCTGTTTCAACTGATGACAAAAAAAGGTGGAACAAAAAAATACTGCTCAAAATCTTACATTGGTAGAGCTGAAGCTGTATCTCATGAGGAGATAAAGGGTGGCACAGGCTTGAGTCCGTGTGCTATCTATGCTGCTACTGCAGTGATGGAGAACTCTTTGACACAGGTCAGCACACTGCTCAACCTCCTCTTCAAACAGGAAATCTCCAAACTGAGACAGAAAAGAAAACATTCATTACTCTTATTTCTGGCCATTGCAGATTCATTGGCTTAGTGCACAAAAATCATAGGATTCAGACAAAGACTAAATGTTACAAAACCTACATTCTATTCTATTCTATTCTAGTCTAGTCTAGTCTAGTCTAGTCTATTCTTCTGATTCCTGTGATGCTATAGGTTCCATGTTCAAGCTTTTCTACAGAGAAGAAGAGTTTGAAAATAGTGTTTGTGTTTTGAAAAAGAGCGGCAGAAAGAATAAAATATTTCTCAGAGTCCCATTCTCCAGGAACTTTTAAAAACATCAAATGTTGCAAAGTTGTTATTTTCAGAATACATAATGGTTGATGACACATGCAAATACTTCCTTAAGCGTAAGGAGCAATTACTAGCTTTTTGCATCAACACCTTCCCTTCCCCAGCCCTCCAGAGTGTTCTTCCTCCTACGGTGTGCCACAAAACTTCCATTGCCCAGCTTTCATGCCAGACTCTCCTTTGCAGTGTCTCCATAATGCACCAAGCAGACAATAAACCCAGGGGGCTGGATGTCTGTCCTAAGAAACTCTCACTGTAGGCAGCACAGACACACCAGTACCATATTATACGTACATACACAGGATTGCTAGAGGTGTGTGAACAGAACACAAGATATTATTCCTGATTTGCAGGCCCATTTCCCAGTTCTCCACCTTTCTTCACTCCATTATCTCACTGTTTTATGTCTGATTTAAATTACACACCTGCTGGCCCAGGGTTCTATCATTTTTATTTGTAAAGTAACATCTATATACCTTCAGTGTAATAATAACTGGAATGATTGCTTCATAAAATACAGAAATGTGTCAGCTTAACTAGAAGATCTATTTCAATAACAATTGCTTCACAAAATTCATTACTGGAACTGGAAGTTAGCTTTCAAAGATAAAGTACAACAAAAACATAATTATGAGTTTCATAACTACTGAGATATCTACCCTATAATTAGACTTTGTCAGCCAATCTGCATTTAATAGCAGACAGGCATTAATTGGACAGGAGTGTCCTGTTTGTTATTTGCATTTTATAAGAGTTTAGGGGTGAAAAACATTTAATGGATTTTTCCTTTTTGGAACTGCTTTTCTTTGTAGGAGAATGAATCTCAAACAGATTTAGAGAGTCCTCATGAAGCACCTAATCCAGTATGCTCCATATTACAGAATTTTGGGTCAAATTCTGTCCTCTTTTTTCTTAATTTGTGATGAAGGAATGAGAGAGATTAGGATTTGGTTTAGTTTTCAAGCAGAATGAAGATGAAATCTGCCAACGTCTTAAAATCTACTTAGAATTTTGGAACTTATTTTAGAAGTAGAAACCTAATGATCCCCCAATCTCTTGATGAGTTAACCTTGATTACTCTGCTGCCCAGCTGATTGGAAACTAGTCCTAATGATATAATTTAGATTTGAATTTATGGAATCTGTGCAATCCCTGGCATTAGGATGCCTAATTAAAATAAAAATGTATTTGAAATATAATGGGTGGATTTTTTTTTTACCTTTTCATTAGTAAATCTTCTATATTTAAGAGTAGACTGCTAAACCCACAAGATTATTCAGATTCAGTTATTTAATCTTGTGTGATCGATAAAATAATCTTACAAAAGCTGTAGAAGTCCCTTAACATCCCTACAGATAGGAAGTGTATTCATAGATGCAAAATATGCCAAAGGAAGAGTGGTAAGTAAATGCACACAGCTCTGTTCTAGAAATGCTGCTCTAATAACTTGATTGGAAGCATGAAAACAGAAGTATTTCAACAGCATACCTTAGCAATGAGCGCTCGGAGTGTAGCAAAGCAATGAGTCAGGTAAGTGGTGCTCTGATCACAGCCCAGAGAATTTACCAGGACCTTCAAAACTCCTCCTAAAAGATTGTCTCTGCATTCTGCTGCAAAGCTTGCCTACATGTGAGAAAAACAAAAATTGCATGAGGTAATTCAACAATGAACTGGCATATAGGAACTGAAGTTCTGCTGTCTTGTCTGTGAGATATATCTGGGAGTTTAGAGATTGCAGTTTTTTTATTTGTTAGCAACTGCTTCAGAGGAATTCCAAAACACTTTTGTAGTGATCAGGAAGACATAGGGAAAAATGTCCAAAACATTTCCCAATATCCACAGACCCTCCAATGCATTTTTAAGCTCAGCCAGCTTCTGCAGTAACTCTTGAAGCTCTGTTCACCTTCTGGCTAATCTTTCACGTACCCTGGGTGAGGAAGTGATCCCATGGTGGGCAAGCACCATTCTTTCCCTTGCCTCCTCATGCTCTGATTTCCTGGCATATAGACTAAATCAGCATACTGGTATGCTCTGTTCAAACCCACAACTCAAACCGTGGGGAGACTAGGTGCTACAAATGATGTCATGCAAAAATCATGCCCAGTACTACAAAAGTCCAGTAGCTAAATGCTCTCCTACTAACAGGTTTTCAGGAACAAACTTTTCTCCTCACCATCTGTGAATATACACAGTGGAAATTGAGAGTCTCTCCCCTAAACCAGAAGACCATGTCTAAGCAGAGTCAACTGTCCATAGCTCCACTGTTGTCAAAGGACCTGTGAAATTTTACTGCATCTGACTCCTAGAAGTCAGTTCTTACGTCTTACATTGTTCATCTTACATTCTCATCTTACATTGCTCTATGTAGGTGAAAGATACTTTACTGCATTGAGCACCCTGTGGGAGTCAAGGTTAAATCCTTTTGTCTCACAGATCCATACATACAAGTATGATCACAGGCCACTCAGCAGTCCAGTTCCAAAATACTAACACCTACAGATACATTCCTAGCATAAATGAAGGTTTTTTTTAGCTCCTCCTCCCCAAAGTCCAGGATCAAGTAATATGTTGAAATGGCCTTCAACATCTACCGAAGACACGGTGGTGGATTTCCCTTTTATTCATAGTAGCACAATGCCCTGCAGTAGAAGGGGCTTGTGGCAACAGTGTAAGGCAGACAGCAATTTTGTCTTTGTATTCATTCAATATTATTTTTCCTCTTCAAGACTATACAAGTTTACAAAAAATCTTTAAAACATTTTGCACTGCATAGAAACAAAAGGAGAAATACATCCTGCTTCCACTGGCTTCGGAGGGAGCAGGTATTAGTTATAAGCCAGCTCTGCTGTTTCCCACCTGGATGATGTTCTCTTGCATATCAAGAATGATCAGGTTAGCTTCAGTTGCCAGGTTTCCACTGATCAGAGCTTCTTGATCTAGCTCGGCTTTTGTCCTGCAAAAAAAGGAGTTCTAATTAAAGCACGCAGAGAGATAGATGGCCTGCTATTTAAAGAAAGCCAAAATACAGACTATACCATTCTGAACAATTGCATAAGAGCAAACAGTGAAAACCATGTCCAGAGGTGTTTCTTAAGAACTACGGAGTCAAAGAGGAGAGCTGATACCATAGAACAGAAGTCCCAAAGGGGACACTTGAAATTTAGGCCTCTGAATAGTTCAAATAGATGCTCTGCTTCCTTAATAGTAATCTGTGTGATGGCTACTCTGCCTTCACTATCACAATAAATTGTTCAATAAGATATGCAGTAATTTCTGAATGCATTGCCCATGTGAGGACACTAAAACCCCAAATGGAGTAGAAAGTAACTGATCTAACAATTCCAGAAAAAAAAGTAAAAATAACAGGCTTGGGAAAAGGGGAAATTTCTTCAACGCCATAGTAGCAGTGTTTCATGTAGGCAATCAAAATGTCAGTTCTTGAAACTGTTGACAACATATGACAAGAAGTCCAACATCTGCAGGGTCAATACAGCAGTGCCCCAGGCTCAGGCTCATTGAAGAGATGACTGATCCACTTATAAAAGACAAAATGTGGTGGTAAAGGCAATGCATAATACCCTCTCAGCATAGACTTAAGGACAAAGACTGGAACACAGCTCCTCTACAAGCTGAATGCTCTAAGAATAGGTACAACTCCTAACAAAAGTGTATTTTCAGAGATCCCTTGTATGGTAGAAACACGAAGAGGAATCTCTGTTCTTTTTCCCAAACTGCTCAGAAAAGGGCTGTGGCATGGTCAGAAGCTGCTCTCTAGAACTTGAGATTAGAGCTGCTCTGATTTGGACCAAAGTTCCTAAGATGCATCTCTGTGCCTGGAGCGACACCCTTACAATCAGTGACTCCAAAATCTGTTGTTCAGATTACCTGATTATGTTCAGTTACCTTTTCTGCCGAGTGGAGTCTTACCCAAAAAGAAATCCAGAAGTAAAAACCATCTTTTGGGAAGAAACACTTCTAAGGAGAGCTAAGAAAGGAAGCTGGGGCAGTCAAATGGTTATTAATTACACTGACTCAAAGTAATGAAGAACAGAAGGGCTTGCCAAAATGCTTTTGCTATAATCAAGCCAGGGATCACTAAACATGAGTAGGAACTGAACAAATTAAGCAAACAGTGCAGCCGCTTGAACCATTTCCAGCAACCGCACATTTAACATGTTGACTGGATCCTCTCTGACACCACATGTAGCTTGTAACTGCAGCTACAATCCCAAAGCATGCCAGACTCAAGGAGAAGCAGGATGAGTGAGACTGAGCAGCAACCTGTGCAAACCTGCTGTGCCATGTACTATGTGCAAACATCTGACTTATGGGACCTACACATTAAAGGCTTCCAAAAAGGAGGGAAGAAAAGAACTTGCATACCACAGTGATGAATGCTGGGTAAAACAGAAAGGCCTGAACAGCATGCAGAGTCATACTTATGTAACCAGAAGTTTTATTTTAAGTGGTTTAACTGACCTACTGTAAAGAGATATTTGAGCTGCTACTTGAAGAGTGTTTTATTCTAATTTTAATGAAACAGGTTGGGTAAAAGCAAGCTGCTTTCAGGGAAAAATAGGAATAAACACACAGAATATGCACCTCTTCCAATATAGTGCAGAAAGTGGAAGGATTCTTTCTTTCCAGTTTGGATAAATTCCAAATTAACAATCTTGTGTTCAAAAATGTATGTAATGATTATGAATGAGTGCTAGTCTACAACAACACAGTTGCTGCACAGCACAAACGAGTGAACTCAGTTCAAATTCACGTATGTTGAATGATAACATGAGCTCACAGCAGCTGGACTGGGGAGAGGCCAGTGTCTCTATATGTGACGCACAGTGGCCTGTTTAGATAGCCAAAATTCAAGCAAGTGTCCATGAATAAATGACACATCTCCTTTAGGGGAAAGCAGCAAGTTCCATGTTTATAGAAACTTAGCACATATCATATGGAAATGCTGTTAGTAACACGAACTATTCGCCAAAATACAGTTTTCCATAAATCTAGTAACTGACCTGTCTACTACAATATAGTGCTGACAAGGTGAAATGTACTTCACAGACACAGAATCACAGAATGGTTAGGGCTGGAAAAGACCTTAAGATCATCTAGTTCCATTCAGTCCTGCCATAGGCAGGGACATCTCGCATTAGACCATGTCACCCAAAACCCCATCCAATCTGGCCTTGAACACTGCCAGGGATGGAGCATTTACAACTTCTTTGGGCAACCTACTCCACTGCCTCACCACCCTCACAGTAAAGAATTTCTTCCTTATATCTAACCTGTACTTTGCCTGTTGAGGTTTAAACCCATTACCCCTCATCCTATCACTACAGTTCCTGATGAAGAGCCCCACTCCGGTATCTTTGTAGGCTCCCTTTTAGATACTGGGAGGCTGCTATGAGGTCTCCATCATAACTTAAAACTTCCTACAAGAAAAAAATTCACTACAGAACCATCTTCCCCTACTCTTCTTAATAACTCTTCTCAACATAGCATGTCAAACCCAGCTCAACTGATTTAACACAGCAAACCCATACCACAGCAGTGTATACAGTGAGGAGCCATAGCAACACCAAAATAAATGTCATAGCAAGCCTCTGTGGAGTATTTGATACAACTTGTATCAATAACTAGTGTTTATGACACTGATAATAAGAAGGAAAAAAATGTGGAGATAACTATTTAAACTTCCCATTCAGGTATTTGTGATCTCTTTGTTGTGTCATAGCAACAGTTGGATACTCTGGCTACTTAAACATTTTATATTTCTTTCTCTTTGGCAGAAGATGGAAAGGACTGAAACTGCTCATTTTGTAATAAAAGGTTCCTAGGAGAAAGAATAAAACATGAAAAAAGCAAACAACTTTGGACCTAATAAAAGCAATATATATTAATTAAATTACTTACTTATCTTGTCTCTCATTTGCCTGCCGCCAGTGAGTCTGCTCCTTTCTCCAGCGCAGGTTTTCACTTAGCCCCACTGATCTGTCATTCCCTAACAGTGCAACATATATCAGTGAGATGAAAGCAAAAGAGGACACCTGAAGTCTGATAGCTCACTGAAAGAAGGAGAAGTATGTCTATAGCAGTCTGTCAGAACTAAACCATTCATCTTTACAGCCTTAGGGCTTTAGTAAAGGACAGGACCCCATCACTTTTTTCATCTAGATTTTTACTATATTAGCTTGTTTAATGTCTTCAAGGACAAGAACACAAATCATTCCATTTATTAAACGAAACAACCTTTTTTTTGACACAAACAATTTGTTCATACTGATAGTTTAGACAACATTTCTTGGCTTTTGATTAGACAGCAACACAGTTTCTCAGAACATCTTAAAACTTAGTTGGCCTCATATTTTTCAATGGAGAAGAGTTCAGTCCTAGCTACACCTTGGATAGTTGAAAGCTGATGATATTTTTCTCTACAGTAAAACCAAGAAAGGTCTGCAAGGGAAAGGTCTGTGGGTGAAAAATGCAAGGACAAAATTGGGGGCTATGCATAAAACCCAACAAACTCATTTATGTCTACAAGCTCTTGAGATTTTAAAAGACAAGTGGGGAGATGGGTGTGAAGTACCAGCTGGTATTCTGCAGCGCTTCATCATTTCTCCTCTGGCTCCTTCACCTCTCAGTAAAGCCTCTTCTAATCGGGCCTTAACATCTTGTGACTTCTGGAGTGCTTGGGTGCTAACTTTATCTGAGCTTTGTTTGCCCTGAAAGTAAAGTCAAAGCAATCAACACCAATGCTTCCATCATTGGGCATGAGTCAAACTTACAACTCCAAAACAAGACACAATAGGAGAGACATGTAGGGGAAGTAGAAATCAGTGAATATGACTGACTAATATATAAAGGCTAAATAAATGTTGCAGATGAGGAAAGAGGCGTGTATGTACTGCTAATAAACACAGATATGTAGCTCAGTGCTACAGAGAGAGAAATTTAAGTTCAGAGGGAAGATCTCTTGATGCATTGCAGACAGACCTTGTCAGAGATGGAAGTCCTGATGTCCAGTCCTAGTTCTTAATTAAGGGGTCATCCTTAGTGTCCTTTCTGGTACTTACAGGAACATTGCCCACCATACATTGCCCACCAAAAATAGCCCTCAAATCCCCAGGGAAAGGAAAATAATAAAGTAATTTAAGCCAACTTCATGGGACTTTCTCTAAGGTTTTGGCTGTATTTTCCTTGAAGGGTAGTGTAGACTATTTTAGCTGAATTAATTTGTCCATTTGTAGCATAGATTAAACAAGAGCTAATTTAACAGTTGTCAGTAATGAATTTCTCCTGGACAGCCAGAAGGTAAGGGAAAAAAAAACACCCCAAAACATACCAGGACAACAAAATCAGGCCATGTTTCACCTACCTTGTACTCAAAGCATGACACACAAATGAAAAGCAAATCTAAAATCCTGTTTAACTGCATGGATGGAAGGTCTGCAATCCATTTCTGTATTAGATTCTGATCAGCATTTTTCATGATCCAGAGGAAACATATCAGAAGATTGCGAGTAGTATCAGGACTTAATGTGGCACTCTGTCTGTAGGGCTAGGGCAGATAAAGTAAATGTCAGTTGAAAGAAGTAAAAGAAAAGGGATGTAATTCAGGTGAAGTAATGTTATTTAAATTTAAGTGAAATAGAATCTCAGAACTGGACTTTGGTAAACAGAACTGCTTTCAGGTTACACTGATTGTATTTTTGAATGCATGTGATTAGTAGCAGGACTAGTTGTGAAATACATAAAGAAGCACAAAAGCATTGTTTGCCTGATGGGTGTACTTTAATTTCCTCTGAATAATGTGGAAAAAGATTCTGTTACTGTTTGGTCCCTTCTTGTAAGGCAGTTGTGTCAGCCAAATTGTATAGGAGATTAAAAAAAAACCCAAACTATGAAGAAAAAGGAGGAAAATCCATGGATCTGAGTCCTAGATCCATGGATTCAGGTGAGACTGGGATTGGAAGGCATTGGGGGAGTCAGAGTGACATTAGCTAATCTGGAAATAAGACTAGATTGTGGAAACGGAAATAGGCATGCGGGAGAAAATGAGGAACAACTTATGGTAAAAGAGTAATTAAATGTCTAGGAGAGAAGAGTGGGATAAGACAGGAGGAATATGAGGCATTCTTTGGGGCTGGAGGAAACAAGAACACAGTTTCTCATGACTGTAGTTATTAGTGGCAAGAACGGATAAAAGGAGAAAACAAAGAGGGTCATAGATACAAGAAAGGAGACTGGCAGAGCACTGACCATACCAGGGATATTAGAGTTATTCCAAAGCTCCTGAGGTTGAGCTGATTCCCTGCAATGGCAAGGGCCACGTTCTGACTGACTGCACCTGCAGACTCTTCTTCTTCTTCTGTGTTTCCTGTGCGCACTTTTCCACTGCGAGGATCTGAAACTAGATTTGAAAAATCCTATTGGAACTTCAGGAAAAATCCAGTTGTTGCTGATCACATATCACAGTCTTCCATTGGGCTGTAACCTAACAAAACAGTTGGAACCTTCATCCCTAAGGCTGTTGGTCTGGCTGATGCACCAAGCAGCAAAAAGAGGTGCAGCATTAGCAATACAATTGCAGGCATCTGCAAAAGCTGCCAAATTGTTCAAATAAACACAGGGAAAGGAGATGTGTCCAATAAGCTCCAGGTGTTCAGAGAAGCCAGATTAAAAGCAAAAGCAGTCACAAACATGAGGTTGTCTCTGAAGTTCAGAGCTAAACCAGCACTTCATAAGACTGGGAACCATTCAGTTCCAGTCTATTTCAGGCAAGGGGATCAGCTCAAAAGCCATACATGGGTTTGGTGATATTCAGCAAAGTATGTTAGTCTGCTAACAGCTGACAGAGATGGTATAGCCTGCTGGTTTAAGAACAAGTTTAATTTTAGGCATTTAACTCCTATTTCCTGCTAGTTCTTGACATCACTTTCAACAAATAAGGATAGTTATACTTAAGTTTTGTAAAAATCTCCACTTATTCTGAGTGTCCATTTTGTGTTTTGCAAGCCTGCTTTCCAGAGAAGTGGAGGGACCAGCCAGACCCAGCGTGTTTGGAATGAGGTCAACAGCCTCTTGTGACAGATATTAAAAAAGAAAGACTTGGAAACCTAGCCATACTGGTCAACTTGGGCTTCCTTATGTCATCTTTGTTTCATCTCTGGTATAAGAATAATACTTAAGATTAGAGGAATGGGGTGAGAGCTGATTAGCCAATGTGTCTTCCTTTTAGACTAAAGTGCTAAATAACACTTTCACAGTATTAAGGGGTTTTTTTTGTCTGGACATCTACATACAAAATATTTTCATAAACAGTGACAAAAGTATGTTCTTCAAAGATTATACCTTTTTGTCTTTAAAACCTTTATTTTATTTGTGCAAGTGAAATGTATTTTTCCAGGTAGCAGATATCTACTGTCTTACAAGAAAACCTGAAATAGCTACTTTCAGCAATATCACATGAATACACATGTAGAAAAATGCAAGGAAACAGCCTAAATAATGTTGGTTTAAATGGTTTGAGAATGCTGATTTAAAAGGTTCATAATGTAGAGCAAAGTTTATAGTTATCACAGATGACAAAAAATATATTTCCCTTGTGACAATTACATTAACCAGAGATAAATTTTGGTATCATGTTAATAGCACTAAAGAGCAATAGAAAAAGACAGAAATATACAATCCAATTTCTTTAATTGTGATGTAAGTCAGTGTCATTCTTGTTTTCTGTTAAACCTATCTATATCTTAATATTTCTAGCAGGCTTTATTTGTAGGATATCATAATATTTACACTAAGAGATACGCTTATACTCCTGTACTTACAGATATATCCCTGGTCTATCATTTGCTCGTGAAGTGAGGACACTAAAGTGTTTCCTGTCTATAAAAATCCAGTTTACTTCAGAGCAAAGAAATAGACAACCTTACTAGACTGCAGGGGATTTCTGCACTTAATATTGTCTCTTTTATATTTGATAGACTATTTAAACAAGTCACTCTAATAAGCTGAAAAATACAAAGGGAAAAATGTCTTACTTGTAAAATCATAGAGTTGTGGCAGAGAATCCAAAATGATACCAACCAAAGGGAGGTAGAGAGCTGCAATTTTAACCTTCACTTCTTTTTTGGAGCAACGTGGGTCTAAGTCATGGGAACTCAGCAGGCTAAGTATAGCATTGACAGCTTTTCTTTGCACCTTGCTAATCCTGTTAACATAAAAACCATCCATGAGCTCCATTAATGAGTCATGCACAAATTATCTATAAATCAAAGATATAAGAAACAGACTGGAGGTGAAACAAATTAATACACCCATATTCATTAGATAATCTCTTCCATTCTGAACAGAGACTCATGTTCCCTGCAAAAGATAGCAGAATTACATCTCCAAGCCACTTCACCACAACCAAAGAGCACCCAAGTCTTTCAAAGTTCCCATAAAAATTCAATATTGTGAAGAGAAGTGCTTTAAGAAAAGCATCAGACTCTGGCCGAAGTTTAGCTAAACTCTTAAGTTCAAAGGCAGAGGTGTTTTAGAGAGAAGAGCAGCTAGAATTTCATGCTGTGCTCTCAATTTGGCTGTTTAGCCAACACTACCACAACAAAGAGTATATATTTATTTACTGGGTCCAACATACCACAGATAAAACAATGAGTGGGTTATTGCTGTGTTACAAAGTGATTGAAAAGAGTGGGGCAGCAGGACTGCCCTGGAATCAAACTATGCCCTTGCCAAGAGTAGTAGTGTAACTCAGTTCCATTCTAAAATCTGCAAATTCGGATACCCACCCCTCACTGTCTGCATCCAGTGCTGCTGCCAATTCAGTGAAAAGTAAGCCAGTTAGAAAGTGCTGCTGACGGTATTCAGCCGAGAGGTCAAACACAGTGATTTTCTGGTCCTGGAAACTAGAGCAGGAGCTAGAGTTCTGCAGAAGTATATTAGAAATGTTAAAGAACAATCACTGAAATCAAAGCTTCTTTATGGGGTTGTACTCACAGTCCATGTAGCTAATGGAAAATCTCTACCAGGGGAAAAACACAGACTTTGAAAGAGGGTTGGACATTCTGGAGGAAAACATCTGAGTGTGAAATATAATGCATATAGTTTCAGATAAGTTGCCTGCTAGGATGCAATCTCATCCTTTCCATTCTGTGCAAGAAACTCCTTTGGCATTTTTCCTACCCTATATTCATTAGTTTGGACAGGACACAGTCCGAATTTCCTCCATGTTTAAAATTCCTTGCAATGTCATTACTGTTGCAGAGTGGCCATTGGACATTGTACAGCAAGAGGCTGCCCCTACATTAAGAGAGACTTTGGTATCAGAAGCTCTGCACTGTGCCGTCTTCAGCATCCATGACATCTACAGAAGTGAGGTCAGGAAAGACATGCAAACAGCGTTTCCTTTCAGCCTGGAAATCCTTAGCTGAGCTTGCTGTCAGCTGCCACAATTTAGAGCAGCCTTCAAATTGCTGTAACTTAATGGCTTTGACTGATATACAGCCAGCCCAGGAATGGAAAGTTGCTGCTATATATGTGTTGTGAACTTCTGAGCTTCTCCAATCATAGGTGTGTGTACCACAGGTCACCTGAAATGTTTCTGTCCCCTGATGGGGTGAACATAAGTCTCAGGATCTACTTCCAAGTGCAGTTACTGGGGTTTATGGGTCCAAACATTGCTTTTAATTTATATTCTTCAATATTCTCTCCTAGTATTTCTGCCAGTCACCTGGAAATCACCCCAGAAAACAATCACAGAAAGTAGCAGTATACCACACTGTAGCAGCTGTTTTCCAGCATATTGGCTCAAATGAAACTCATGTCTCTGAGCATCCCCAATCTTTGGGTCCACCTATGTAAGTCCACTCCAATTTCAACCTCAAGCAGACAGGCACTGGCTGTACTGTTTGTGTGGAATAATGTTAAAGTGTAGAGCACCAAGTTAAGTGAATTTGGCTTCTCTCCAAGAATTCCAAAAGATTTATTCACAAGGCCGTATTTCTTACTGAAAATATAACTCTAGCTGGGCAGCACTCCTGCAGACAGATCAAAATTAGTGCAAGAGTGGTCAGCTAATGTAGTAAATCATCCAAAGAACACAAAAGCCTTATTGATTTGCACAGGTTGCACTTCACAGGTTACGCCTAAAGGAGAATGAGTTGATGATGTTGCTTGAAGGAAAGAATGATTAAACTGGTGTGTGCCTAGCTCTGATTTGCTAGAACTAGTTGCAGGAGCTATGCTCAGTTCTTTTTAACCCATAAGCAACAGAGTCCCATTTCTTGTTCTTTGGCATACAGGATTAGCATTAAGCAAAACTATTGGGAAATCCTGATGCTAAAACCTTATTGCTTTTCTTCTGAGAGGAAGAAAAAAAAAATCAAGAAAGTATTATTTACTTTTATTGAGCTGTCAGAACCCTTAAGGTATCATCTTAGCATCCAACTAATTCTTTGGCAATGACACTTGAAAAAGAAATCATGAATTTGAACTCTGCCATTACTAAGAGTGTTTTTGAACCTCCCTCCCTTCTTAGCTTCAGTTCCATCTCCCTGCTTTCAAAGGATGCGCATTTATGGGGCTTTGCACTGAAATGCTTCATCCCAGTCCTGACCTCTGCAAGACCACTGAGGTGGAAACCAGGCAGGCTAGCACCCTTTGTTAGGGGGTCTGCCCCATGGTAAAAGCAAGATACCATCTAAGTAGAATGTAGAAGAAAAGGGCACAAGACTGGCGAAATTGTGTGTGGTATGTCAGACAACAATTTCTTCATTCAGTGTTTGTGAACTCCATGCCCAGGATGATGGATGGAAGGTCCTAACATCCAGAGCTGTGTCAGTATCAGGTCAAGTCTGGAAAAATGTGCATGTACTGGAAATGACATCCTGGAAGAAATGAGAAGTGATAAGGAGAGGCGTTTACAAAAATGGTGTGAGAGGTCTACTCAGGATACGTAAGTGTTTCCACACAAGAAAATCATAAAGCTCAAATAAAAGTGAAAGCACAGAAAAATCATTGGCAAAGTCATGGCAACCATTGTAGCATGGGGGTGGGAGAATCCCAGAACAAAGTACATGGCTATTTGAAAAGGAAAGAATGGTAATCCTGCTCTGAAAAACATTAATGATCAACAGAAATCCATGATTACAGGATACTGAAAACTGTAGTGATTTAGCTGCTATTTTGCATAGTGGTAGCATCTACATCCACTTGGGGAACAAAAAGTTCAGCCAGAAGGCAAATGCACAGAAAGTTTGCTAGCTGTAATTCTCTAAAACAGATATTGAAATACGTATCTGTGGTTGTGTACGAATGGGATATAGGTGCACCTGTAAATCAGCATTCAGAGCCATGTTCCTTTTATACCCTGTATGTCTACCTTAACAGTAATTTTCTCTTTAAATGTTTCTAGAGGGGCACACATCTGTGTCATGTTAAGCTTTAATTTCTGTAGATGCAGTCTTGCAGTACTGCTCTCTTAGTCTTTGCTCTTCTGCCCCTCTTCTTTCAAGAGGGAAGTTGTTCTCCCTGATATAACAGAGGTTAATTTTAACCCAAGTATCTGAATACAAATATCTGTACATGTGTGCTTATGTGACATTGATGCAATATCATCTAATGGAAGCCTACCTGGGAAGATAAGGAGGGAGAGGGGGATACTGGAGCATATGCAGAGGTCATGAAGAAGAGGTTCAGATTGAGGTAATGCTCATGGCTGCAGAGAATTCTCAAGAACTCCAGTCTCATGGAAATAAGGGTGGAGAGTGAGTTCAGCTTGTTTGAGAGCTAGAAAAGCAAAACAAAAAGTGTCATGTAATGGGCATGCACTATTTAAATTACCATGCAGTGAAATACTCTGCTTCCCAAAGCAGAAATAGACAAATAGCCCAGCATGCCCTAAAATGCTCACTGGTTCCCTTTACCTAATGAATTTCCATCTATTAGCTCCTCTTCTTTTGGGAGTGGCGGTGTCCCTCTCTCCCTGCCCCTTCTGACTTACCATCTTCCTAAGAGACAATGAATTGGGGGGGGGTATTTTATCCCAAAAGAAAAAAAATACAGTAATTTTTCCCTTTTGCATAATACATAGATTAAAACCAAACAAAAATTTGTTGAGTCTGTGCAAACTCATAAAGAGTCCTGCTGAGCAACAGAGGGAGAGTGGTCTTGTCATTTTTCATCATAGGAACAATGACATCAGTGGAGTATTGCACATACATTAGGAAGCAGGGCTGGTAGCCAACTTGCATTCTCCCACCTACCATCAGCTGTCAGAGGTTCTTCCTTTGGCAAAAAAGTTACAGCAGGTATATCAAATCACAAAACAGAAGGAAAACTTCCACCTTCAAACACAACAAATCATTTCATAGCAACATCCTGCATAAGTTTGGTGGTTTTCTGGGGGGAGGGGTGTACAGTGGGAAGTCAGAAATGGATCATTTTGATTGAATCTCCCAAATCTAAATAATATCCTTACAGCACTGGAGGAGTCAGAGATCAAAAGCTGCTCTGTATGGTCTGCAGACCATATGGTCTGCTAATGGATGTAAAAGAGTAAGGGAAGAAAAGTGGCTCCATGGATGCTCTGCAGTAGTGCAAGTTACAACATTTCTAAAAGGATCTCAACCTCCAGTCAATTTTTTTCTGTAGACCACAAATCAAAAAAGTGTTAAAAGTCTCTGCATATGCAATAAGAAATAGGAAATTTACCTAGTTTTTTAACACAACTCAAAGGATCTTGATAGATAAATGAATCAGAACAGAACACCAGACTGGCCGTAAGCCAGACGCAATCCCAATCATGCATGGTGCCTACCTGGTTACAGTAATGTTTGATGAGATTAAACACAAATCCTCGGTCCATTAAAGAAAGAAGATCATACAAGAAAAATGCCAGGCTGATATTAATTTTTTCCGCTTGCTCACTTTCCTTTAAAAAAAGGGGGGAAAATGTAGTTATGTTGTATAAAACATATACAAAGGCAGAAGAATTTTTAGAATCATTAAAAAGCAGTATAGGAGACAGCTCCCAGAGCCATCGCATGGAACATACTGGTGAAGATTGTTTCAGTTCTCCAGTTTACATAATCTTGTTAAAATCATACTGAATCATTCCTGTAAATTATTTCAACTGCTGTGACTTTCACAGGGACTATCAAAGGATGAATGAACAAGTTTATCAACACAAACTTTTGGATTGACTGTCGTGGTTTAGAATGGGATTTGAGACCTGTTCTGAATTACCTATGGGCTGGAATTCTGCACATGCTTCTATTTTATTTTATGTTTTAATTGAATCTTTAACATTAGAGAATGCTGGTTTACACACTTAAAACATAAAATGCTGTTTTAAATTATTAATAAAAATCTGTCTTTGCTGATGGAATGCCAAACATTTTGTTTAGAAATTTTAAGTATAAAGCTAATGCTTAAAAAAATACTAAGTAAAAAAGTCCTAGTAAGTTAGATCTGTGGGTTTTACCATTCAGCATCTAAGCTCTTGCATTGGCCTGATTACCAGAGATATGCAGACCCAAGCAAAAATCACAGAACTTCATGTGCCCCCTAAAATAAGGCTGCAGTTACTCCAAACATACCAGTTTAAATAACAAAGTCTCAGTAGCATGTGTAGCTCACCAAGGAGAATTTGTGGAGGTGCCTGAGTGATCTGCACAGATTTAACATTCAGAGCCCTCAGGTGGGTTCAGTCAAGACTGACAGCAATGACTGAGAAAAAACATTGCCCCTACCGGTGTCTCTGACTAGTGAGGACAGGTGTGCAGCACCTCAGGGTGGTTACACTTCAACCTTTTTGTGGCTGCTCACATATAACATACATCCATCTCCCGTGATCCCTAATTTATGCAGCAAGGCATTTTTCTGCTGTGAAGTCAAAATTAGGTTTCCACTGTCTTGCCTGGTAGCTTAAAATACACCAGACATATCACTGCAGAATCCCAGGGCAATCGGACATGCTCAACCATGTATTGAAACATATATTGTTACTGCTTGGGTTTGTAATGAGACGCATACTGCCTACTGCTGCTCTGTACAGCTAACCATCAGCCTTCATTCTGCAAAGGCTTCAGTGGGATTTTCAAACATAATCTGGTTCTATATCCTCACTCTACCAAAACTGATTGAATAAACAGCCCATAAAATTTCTTGGCAAAACTTTTACTTCTATTCAAAAATCTTTCATGTAACAGATTTTTATTACACAACATGCCTAAAAGAAAAATGTCACTGACACCTTAAGGAGAGATTTCTGTGAAAACAATTTCTCGACATGTGGCTACCACGAAAGTACACCAAAGGATCGAGCAAAGGGTAAAGCTTCGGGAACAACTCTTTGGTGGACAGTGGCAATAACTTCCACCATTCTCTGCCCTCAGTTGCCTGGCCTTGGCCCTTTCCCACTTTCTGCTCCTCAACAGCACAGTGGTATGCACACATGAAGTGGATAAGGAAGCTGACCTGGCAGGCCAGCTCTCCAGTCTGGTCCTGCCCTGTGGCAGAGCTCAGTGCTGGGCTGCCATAGTGCATTTGGCAGCTCTGAGGTATGAAAAAAGTCAGTTGCAACAAATGAGCAACAACAGTCACCCAGTGCCTACCTGTGGCCTTAACTTCCGTCTATTGGCTAATGTGGAGTGACATCAGTGATATAAACTGACAGTATTAATATTAAAATACAAATTACATTTTGTGATTGTTTCAACTTTATAATCCATTGTATCAGTGCAGCTTGTTAAGACGTATCAGGAAAATAAATTTTATGGGATTTAGGGCTTATTTTTTGTCTTTGATTTTCATGTGGCCAGTGCCTCTTTAAAGAGACTTGGGGTTAGATCACTCATGTTTGGATTCTGCAGCCCTCAGGAGGAATACAGCCTTCATATTGTTTATCCCACTGCCATCAGAGAAGTCAAATGCAAAATAACCACTATACCTTAGAAATGAGGGTAGCAGGAATAAACCCTGCTTGGGCTGCAGTTTGATGCCCTGGCTGACATGGCATAAAGCATCACTACCACTAAAAATAGGTGCACAACCTTTCCTGTTGATGGGAAAGGGAATTCCTTCCCTGCTTCCCAAAGTCATATCGAGAAGCAGGCTGGAGAGCTGAGCTGAATGAAAACAAACTACCAGGAGAGCACAAGGCTGCCTCTTGTGCAGCCACAACTCAGTTAAGGTTTATGTGAGAATACTGCCTCAGTTTTAGTGTAAGTCTAGTAACACTGATGAAGGTGAAATGGGATTAAATATAGCTCTGTGCAACACCAGCTGAGTAGCAAGGATCCACAATGCATTTACCTTCTGTGGTTTGACTAAAAGTGCAGCAATCTCTGAAGTAACCACACTAACTATAGTAGTAATATCATCTTTGAAACGATCAGAGAACCGGCTTCTTCGCGGGTTATCCTGTTTGTCTATGCTGTGAACATACTGAGCCATACTCTTTATCTGCAAAACAGAAAAAAAAAATTACAAAAATGCCCAAACTGGAGGTAAAACTACTGCTTTCACTTTGTGCCTGGGAGTAAGATTCCCTACTTGTTTTTTCCTGAATGTAATCACTCCCATCTTCTCAGAGCTGCTGTGATAGATGTACTCACAATGCCAGCAGAGAGCCTAAGACTCACACAGACAGACACTGACTTCTGTTCAGGTTCATGCAGTTGGCTACTCTCAGCACCCAAAATCAGAATGACCCTCCATAGACCCTTGCATCTGCAGCTCTGAAATGCTGTTTGCAATGTTTGCCCTTCATGATGACAGACAGGGAGTGATACTTCTGGAATTAATTCTTATTTCTTCACCTGATGTTGGGTTGTTTATATGCTGCCACTGAAAATCAGTGTGGTTTTTCCACTGACATCTATTGCTTTGGGGCTCCGTGATTCTGTGAGTTTGGGGAGCCTTGTCACTGCTCTCAGGCTGTTAGCAAAGCAGAAAAGACAGGAACAAGTATTTACAAAGGAAGGGCTTGGTTTGATGTCTGTCTGCCAGCCTTCTGCAACCTGTGTACCACTGTGTGTGTAGTTTGCACAGGACTTTGCCATCACAGGCTGTCAGTGGGGAATCAAGTGAATATGGAGGATTCTTTAGTTGTACTTTCTACTTTCCACACTGGGGCTGAATAACTGAAGAGATTACCACCCAACTAAATCTGTGTCTGGATTACCCATTACATTTTCTCCATTTACCTACTGTAAAATACCACTGTCAAAGCTTACCAGGAGCTCAAAGAAGAACCAGGCATACTTGAAGACAGATTCTCTCACCATACCCGTGCTGACCACCATCTGCAGTGCCAGCTCCTCATGGAAATGCTAGATAATAAACACAGAGTGTTGGGAAATGTTTTTTCAATCAACTCTTCTTTCAGTTTCAACATTGCCCCTCTTCCCCGTGGGAAACACCCCCAGACTGGAAAGTCAGCAGCTGGATAGGGATGTGCTGACATCCCTGCAGAATCAGAAGGCAGATTTGACCAAAATGACAGACAACTAACGCTGGTGGCAAACAGACTTCTGGGGACCCATTTCCTGTGGATACAGAGTTCTGGATAACTAAACTGGAAAATGCCTTCGGTCTATCCTCAGGCCACTGGCTATATGCATGACAGTGAGCAGTCACATTCCCTACTCTCTGCTAAGCACTTTCACATTCATGCTTTTTGAGAGAAGGTGTAAGTAAGGTTGTCTCTGTGGTGGGAGAGAAGCACACAGTGATAACCACAACAGAGCTTGCACAGAGATTTGTAACTGGAGACAATACTCTTTGCAGTGAGATGTGACCGTATCACGCAACCCCAATGACCTAAAATTTCAGGAAATGCAAATCTGGACTAAAATTTTATTACAATAACTGTTATCTATTCTGACTTAGACAATAAATTTAATGGGATTCTCAAGCATATCTAAATTGAATAGGACATATTAATCCATCCAAAATCAGACTGGGTATAAACCTCTATGCCTTTTAGCAGAAATCAAACCAATAAAAAGGAGTAAGGAAGGAGAGTTTCTGAACTGTAATTCAGATTCTGAACTGCTCATTTCAGGGTTTTTCCCCTCCTTCTTCATCCAAAGCCACTGTTGCTGATCAATGCCAAACACAAGGCACAGCTCTGGAAAAAATATCAATGTGACATGGTATCTTCTTTGTTAAAAAGCTATTTGGGAATGAATAGTCAAGATAGGAAGGAATTTATTGGTTATAAAAGCTACAAAAAGGGGAAAAGAAAACTTTCTTTACAGAAGATAGAGATGGCAAACATTTCTGAATGGGGTTTACTGTAACATGTAAAGGCAGGTATACAAGGGTAAACAGCAGTGGAGAAAGACAGAGGCCCTAACATCTTGAGAAAGAGAGCACAGGGAGGATCCAGGCAGGCTGCTACTTGTCTAAATCAGTCCTGGCAAATAAAGAAAAGAAGAAAAAAGTCTAAAGACTCAGGAGCAGAAGAAGAAAAGTTTGGGTAATATTTACCCACTTATTCAATATTCCATCACAAACTCTTTATTCAATAAAACTGGTTGTTATTTTGTTCTCTCTTTCCCCTTTCCTCATTTTGAACCACTAATTATCAGCACAGCCGCAGAAGGCTCCAGACTCTGTTACTGTGCTCCCTCATGCTTAGCGGTAGGCTACCTTTTTATTGGGCGGTCTTGAGCTTCCACAGACGGTTAGCATGTCATTTGTTCCTTCAACACAGACAGACATCCGGCTGGAGCTGTGATCGATAGGCTGGAGAGCATAGCCAGAAGAAATACATAATAGGAAATTAATATATGATTAAGAGAGACGAAATCAACAGCAGTTTTGGTTTGGTTTCTGTTTTGTTATTGTTGTTGGGGTTTTTTGTCTGTTTGGGTTTTGGTTGGTTTTGGGGATTTTTTTTGAAGGTATGCTCAGACGTTCACCTAAACAGCTCGTCTCTCCTCCGCATCCCACTCCCCACTAGAGCCCGAGGAACACACGAACGCCGCAGCCGCAGGAGAGTGCAAATGCCAACACTGCCATCGCGTGTCCAACTGCAGCATTTTGGAGGCGCTACAACTCACCTTTTCAAAGGGTAAATTTCAAAGGGTCCTTTAAGTTTATCCGGTGGCTCTACATCCCAAATTAAATAGCATCTGGAGTCTTTCCTTCATTAAAAGTAATACCAAGTTTAAATGAAATGAAATGGCAATAGCCAATTGTGAATTGCTACATTTATCAAAGAGATGAAACTGTAATATCAAACATTTTACTTCTGTATTAATATGTAAAAAAATTGCCTGCCTTGAGCTCTCTTTTTTAGCACACTGTACATTACAGAAAATTCATAAAGCTATCCCAGCCGCTCTGACCAATGAGCCGGCTTCATTTGGAGCTCGGCTCAGATGCCTCTATACAAATGCCTGTAGCATGGGGAACAAACAAGAGGAATTAGAGATGTGTGCATGTCTACAGGGGTATGATATAATAGGCATCACAGAAACATGGTGGGATGGCTCCTATGACTGGAGTGTTGGAATGGAAGGTTACAGGCTCTTTAGGAAGGACAGGCCTGGCAGGCGGGGAGGGGGAGCTGCCCTTTATGTTAGGAGTAGGCTGGAGAGTATGGAACTCTGTCTGGGGACAGGTGAGCAGTCCACAGAGAGTTTGTGGGTCAGGGTTAAAGGGAGAACAGCGATGGGAGACATTACTGTGGGGATCTGTTACAGACTGCCTGATCAAGGAGAGCCTGCGGATGAAGCACTCCATAGACAGATAGGAAAAGCCTCACGGTCACAGGCCCTTGTTCTCATGGGTGACTTCAACCACCCTCATGACAGTTGGAAGGACGGTACGGCCCGGCACAAGCAATCCAGGAGGTTCCTTGATTGTGCGGAAGACAACTTCCTTCTGCAAGTAATAGAGGAGCCGACAAGGAGAGGTGCCATGCTTGACCTCGTGCTCACCAACAGGGAAGGGCTCATTGGAAATGTGATGCTCCAGGGCAGCCTTGGATGCAGCGATCGTGAGATGGTCGAATTTGAGATCCTCAGGACAGTGAGAAGAGCGTGCAGCAAGCTCACTGCCCTGGACTTCAAGAGAGCAGACTTTGGCCTCTTCAGGAACCTGCTTAGGAAGGTTCCATGGGATACAGCCCTAGAGGGCAGGGGGGCCCAAGACTCTTGGTTGATATTCAAGGATCACCTGCTACAAGCTCAGGAGTGTTGCCTCCCAACCAGAAGGAAGTGCAGCAGGAGGGCCAGGAGACCTCCTTGGATGGATAAGTAGCTCCTGAGGAAAATTCAAATGAAAAAAGAGGCTTCTAGAAGCAAGGACAGGTGGCATGGGAAGAGTACAGGGATGTTGTCCGGGAAGCTAGGGACCAGGTTAGGAAAGCTAAGGCCCAGTCAGAATTAAACTTAGGTAGAGGTATTAAAGATAACAGGAAGGAATTCTACAGGTACAGAGCAAATAAAAAACAGACTAGGGAGAATGTAGGCCCCCTCAGGAAGCTCTCAGGAGAACTGGCTACACAGGATTTGGAGAAGGCTGAGGTTCTGAATGACTTCTTTGCCTCGGTCTTCACTGCCAAAGGCTCTGACCACACCACCCAAGTCTTGGAAGGCAGAAGCAGGGACTGGGAGAATGAAGACCTTGCACCCACTGTAGGAGAGGAACTGGTTCGAGACCATCTTAAAAATCTGAACATACACAAGTCCATGGGTCCTGATGAAATCCATCCGTGGGTCCTGAAGGAGCTGGCGAATGAAGTTGCGAAGCCGCTGGCTGTCATTTGAGAAATCACAGCAGTCAAGTGAAGTTCCCAATGACTGGAAAAAGGGAAACATAACCCCCATGTTCAAGAAGGGGAAAATGGATGACCCGGGGAACTACAGACCAGTCAGTCTCACCTCTGTGCCTGGCAAAATCTTGGAGCAGATTCTCCTGGAAGGCATGCTAAGGCACATGAAAAACAACAAGGTGCTTGGTGACAGCCAGCATGGCTTCACTAAGGGGAAATCCTGCCTGATCAATTTGGTGGCCTTCTATGATGGGGCTACAGAACTGATGGACAGGGGTAGAGCAGTTGATGTCATCTACCTGGACTTGTGCAAAGTGTTTGACACTGTCCCACACGACATCCTTCTCTCTAAATTGGAGAGATATCAATTTGATGGATGGACCACCCGGTGGATAAAGAACTGGCTGGATGGCCGCACGCAAATAGTTGTGGTCAATGGCTCAATGTCTGGTTGGAGACCAGTAATGAGTGGTGTCCCTCAGGGATCGGTGTTGGGACCGGTCTTGTTCAACATCTTTGTCGCTGACATGGACAGTGGGATTGAGTGCACCCTCAGCAAGTTTGCCGATGACACCAAGCTGTGTGGTTCAGTTGATACGCTGGAGGGAAGGAATGCCATCCAGAGGGACCTTGACACACTTGTGAGGTGGGCTGATGCCAACCTTATGAAGTTTAACTATGCCAAGTGCAAGGTCCTACACCTGGGTCGGAGCAATTCCAGGCACAGCTACAGGTTGGGCAGAGAAGAGATTCAGAGCAGCCCTGAGGAGAAGGACTTGGGGGTGTTGGTCGATGAGAAAATGATCATGAGCTGGCTGCAGTGTGCACTTGCAGCCCAGAAAGCCAACCATATCCTGGGCTGCATAAAAAGGAGCGTGACCAGCAGGTCGAAGGAGGTGATCCTGACCCTCTACTCTGCTCTTGTGGGACCTCACTTGAAGTATTGTGTGCAGTTCTGGTGTCCTCAACATAAAAAGGTCATGGAACTGTTGGAACAAGTCCAGAGAAAGGCCACGAGGATGATCAGGGGACTGGAGCACCTCCCGTATGAAGACAGGCTGAGAAAGTTGGGGCTGTTCAGCCTGGAGAAGAGAAGGCTGTGTGGAGACCTCATAGGAGCCTTCCAGTATCTGAAGGGGGCCTATGAGGATGCTGGAGAGGGACTCTTCATTAGGGACTGTAGTGATAGGACAAGGGGTAATGGTTAAAACTTAAACAGGGGAAGTTTAGATTGGATGTAAGGAGGAAATTCTTTCCTGTTAGGGTGGTGAGGCACTGCAATGGGTTGCCCAGGGAGGCTGTGAATGCTCCATCCGTGGTGGTGTTCAAGGCTGGGTTGGGCAGAGCCTTGGGTGACACGGTCTAGTGTGAGACACCCCTGCCCACGGCAGGGAGGTTGGAACTAGATGATCTTAAGGTCCTTTCCAACCCTAACTATTCTATGATTCTATGATTCTAAGTTCAAATCTACATTATTAAAAATTGCTATGGATGAATATGTATGTCCGTATAAACAAATCAAATAGATTGGCATCTTACTAGCTGTGGTTTAATTTGCTGAAGATAAGCACTCATTCACTTTAACTGGAGAGGCATGTGATCATTCAGTGGAGAAAAGACTTCAAAATGTTTCTGGAAATAACTTGCTTGGGAAGCAGTATTTTACATAGGTAACACTCAAAGAGAAGCGAGGGGGGATATAGTTCAGAGCTCAGCAGACATACTGCTGTGGAGTTTTGCCAGGGCTGCAGATAGGAGGAGGCTCCTTACACAGGCAAAAAATCCTGCTTTTCTCAGAGGCACAGCTTCCCAGCTCCTGCTGAATGAGGCGCTCTAGATTTTGGTTTGCCCAGACAGCTAAGCACAGCCACCCTCACCAAGCCCTGAGATGAGGCTGGGATGCTGTAGACTGGCAAGCACCAGGTGCCAATCAGGGAAGCAAAACTCAAGTTGTTGGAAATCATCATCCTTTCTATCCTGCAAGCTGTTGGTGGCACATGTAGCTGTGGATAAGAAAGACAGAGGAAGTTGTGTTTCACTCTGTGGTTGAATTAAGTACTTGGAAAGACCCAGTTACAAAATCTGCAAAATATCATCTGTACTATAGGTGATACAAAATCATGGGGCTGCTATCATACACATTTCTCTGTTATTTGAAAAATAAAAAACAAAACAAAAAAAAAGGCCAAAACAAACAAAAAAACCCCAAACCAACCAACCAACCAACCAACCAAAAGACTTAAAAGGAGCTAGAATAAATTATGAGTGCATTTTAGGGAAACTATTTCTCTTCTGAGGAGTCTTTCTCTCCTTTTAGAAAGTGAGTTTGTTCCCAGTGTAAGTGGTAGTAGTCCTTTCTCACACTGACTCTGTGCACCTGGACCAGGCCATGTCACCAAATGCGAACAGAACATAAATGTCAGGAAGAATAGGAGATTGAGGCACATTAAAAAAGAAAACACCTCTGTGGAGTGTCTGTGTCTCAAATAAAAGACAGAGTTCTTACCTGTTGCTCTTGTCACTGACAAGAGAATCAGAATTTAGCAATAGGATTTACCATTTACCTATGCCAAATCAGCTAAACCACAAGTGCTTCTGGTGATATATACAGTGCATTTATAAGAAGCAAACCCCACCATCACAGAACAAATCTAGATGATTAGGTCTGGGTCCACACAATTCCCTGGATATTTTACCTTGTTCTCTTACCTTGGATGACATGATGTTTTTGACTTCCTCATCAGTAGCACTTTGTGTAACAGCAATGTCAGGATTGCTGCAGCTGATCACTCGGCTCTGAAGGAGTTTACTCCCAACAGACATTGCGGAAGTGCGTCCAAATGTGTAATAACGAGACTCTGTTGAAATGCCACTGCTGCCTGCACCTGCCCATAGGAAGATGTTTGAACTGAGACTAAAAGACATATATATGAGACAAAAACTAGATTCAAGCCATCTTTGCTCACTGCTGATACAGCATCAACACTTCAAATAGCATTAAGCTTCTGAAAGTCTTGCTACAAACTGCATCATTAACAATTACATAGGCATAGAAGGACAAAGTGCATGGGTGATTGTAACAAAAGCAGTAACAAAATCTTAACTGGGCTACCTGAGCAGCAGCTCTACTACATTAGCTCTCATTTTCTCCCATCAACTCTTCTTAATTTCCTGTACCTTAAGACAGGCCTAAACACAAAACGTCACCTTCAACACATAAGATTTAACATGTCCAAAGTATCCAAGAAAGCAGAGATCACTGCCAGCAGGAATTTCACTAAATGATTACCTAGTTTTCAGCCTCCCCATGGACTTTATTTTTCAGAATAAATAATTTCTAAGTGTAGGTAAGATCAGAGATTTTAATTCATCCTAACATCAGTCTAAATGTCCCTCAAGAGGGATTTAAATGAACATTTAAAAAAGAAAAGGGCCCACATTTCTTTAGCTCCCACAGCTACTTGGTGGTAAGTCAGCTGATATATAGTAATCACTCAGATAAATTCTTTAGGATTTTAGGCTTTAGGACAGTGGACTGCAGCAGAATAACATAATAGTTGACGTTCAAAGGGACCTCTGGAGGTCATCCGATCCAACTTCATGCTCAAGCAGAGTCACGTAGAGCCAGTTGCCCAGGATCATGTCCAGATGCCTTTCTAATAACTCCAAGGTGAAAAAATTCACCACCTCTCTGGGCATCCTGCGCCAGTGCCAGTCACCCTCACAAGAATAAAGTGTTTCCAGACAGAAGGTACCTCCCATGTTTCAGTCTCTGCTCATTGCCTCTGGTCCTGTCACTGGGCACCAAGGGAAACAGCCTGGTTCTGTCGTCTTTGCACTCTCCCTTCAGGTCTTTGCATACATTGAAGATCCTCCCTGAGCCTTCTCTTCTCCAGGCTGAAGAGTCTCAGATCTCTCAGCTTTTACTTATTGGAGGGATGCTCCAGTCCCCTCATCACCTTTGTCACTCTCGGCTGCTCTCTCTTCAGCATGTTCATACCTCTTTTGTACTGAGAAGCCCAGAACTGGACACAGTACTGGAGGTGTGGCCTCCCCAATGATGAGTAGAGGAGAAAGATCACCTCCCTCAATCTGCTGGCCAACATACAGGGTTTTATCCCCTGATGACACCTCTAATGAAATGGACAAATTGGCAGAGCTTGACCCTACATCACTTGACAGTAAGTAAGTTTGCATGGAAAGCAGCTTACTGATGTACAGGCCAGTAAGAAATCAGCATCTTAACACCACTTTAGTTTTTGGAGAAAATTCCTCTAGAGAAAGACTCAATTTAGGAGATGCCTCTCACTTCATGAAAAGTGACTTCATGAGATGTCTCTCACTTCCTACCTTCATGAAAACACAGCATTGCATATAGCTGTGGGGTCCTTTCACCTCAACCTTGCACCTTAAATGAATGATTGAGAGATAGAGATTATGGAGGGCAAGTTTGTAGTAGTGCTGAGATCCCTTCCTCTGAGAAAAATTACATATCTGAACAGAGATGTGCTTAAACAGTAGGCACTGAGAAGTTGTGCTTGCTATTTTATAAGCCAAATCCCTAACTCCTCATCAAAAGCACCATTCTGAATAGCATGTATCAAGAAAAAAGAATATTTTTGCAACCCTTGCACCAACATTACCTGGCTTGATTACTTCTCTTTGAGGGTCTGGCAGACGAAATACATAGTAGATATAAGATGCCAAGAGGCAGTTCCTCCCATGCTGGTCTTTGCTCAGGTCTTTGCTGTTGTGGAGACTGGTCACTATTGCAACCACAGATTCAAAGGCAAACTGTGAGAAGTTGGCTGTGAAACAAAGGCAAGAATTAGTCTCAGCACTATATTATACAATATAATTAGGTGAGGGCATTCTTTGTAGCAACAACAACTAATCATACTTCATCAAACCCATTAACAACTAACCGTAATGCTTTACTTCAATCCTTAACAAATTCAGATCTCTAGACAGCAACCTGACCAGATCCAAGGTCTACACAGGCAAATAACCACTCTTCAGTAGACAAGCTGACTTTCAACTCAATCATTGCTACTCCATCACTTTGTGCTACATAAAAGTAGAGTGTAACTGTTAATTACCATTTCTAGCAGTCTTCACACATTTCGCATAAAATACAAAGAACACCAAGACTCACTAGTCTCCTGCTGACAGATAAACACGAGCTAGCAGGCTTTTTCACAAATTACAGAGTCACAGAATGGTTTAGGTCAGAAAGAACCTTAAAGAACATCTAGTTCCACACCCCCTGCCCAGGGGCAGATGGCAGGGACATCTTCCACTAGACCATGCTGCTCAAAGCCCCTGTTATAGTGGACGACAAGCGTCATTTACCAAAATGAGACAAGAAATAAACTACATCATTCCAAGTGTGCCTTCCTTCCAGAGTTAATACTTGTGATGGGTAACTGGGAGACTCAGTAAAAGAAAAATCCATGCGCATTACTATGCCCTCTCCATTCATGTGTTCACACAATTCTTCCTAAAGATATTTGTACAGAGGATACAGTGCAGTCAGCAATCTCAGTTGCAGGATAAGAGATTTGCTGATGCTTTTGTTGCAAAACAACTGAATTCCAAACAAAGCTAAACCACAGCCCACTTTTTGACTTATATTTTCATATAAGTAAGCTACTACAATTTAACATACCTTCCAACAGAGTCTGAGAGTCTTATATGTATGGGGGAAAGGAGAGAAGACAGGAACTCAGTTAAATCTAATTAAACTGTGTAGTGAAACTGTGCTTTGAGAAGCACAACTCCTTTTGAAGTGGGCTACCCCAAACATCAAATCTGAGTCTGGGTATTTAGCAACCATTTCCCCCTGCCCCTATTTCTAGGTTGCTTGCATTACCACTTCAAGGTCATGCACCAGTAAATACCTGTCTGGCCAGCTATGACCATGGGTTGTACAGCCAGCTGGAATAGTTTATCTAGTACCAAATGTAAAAACAAGACAAGAGGCTCAAGGCGTGAAGAATTCAAACAAATAATGCTGAGTTTCAATTCATGCTCCAGTGTAGCCTCTGTAATCTTCTGGTCCATCAGTCGAATGGGGAATGACACTTGACTTTCCAAAGAATGCAACAGGGTGAAGAACTTCTCCAGGTGATTGTCCTGCAAATACAGTGCATTCGCAGTTAACGAAGTTCATATAGCTCAGGCTGCTGCTAGCTAAGCAAACTTGATTGTCCCACCTGATGGGATGAGAGAAAGTGTTTTCACCCTTCTAGCTTGCCGTAGTGGCTAGTCCTAGAGATCAATTTGTAAAACAGCTGTCACAGCTTTTTGCTTGTTCCTTTTCACCTGGCTCAAATTCAGACTCTGGTTAGATCAGATTAGAAGCAGAAAAGTTAAAGCTCTCACTAGAGTGGTTGCTTCATTTCATGAAAAGACTGTTTCTTCTCGCTAAAATTCTGTCACATCATAGGTCTATAGTCCCTCTGTCATCACACCTAAATTCCAGCTACATACAAGTTATGTGACTTATGAGTATATCCTACTTACATTTAGAAAGCATGCTGCAAAAGGGTCATAGACCAGCTTCAGACACAGGGCTTCCAGTTGTTAGGACATTGCTACTAGGGTTAACTAGAATGGATTGACGGGGGAAGGCACTGTATAGCAGCAGAAACAAAATAAAGCTGCCTTGCCTCAAACCAGTATCCCAATAATATGGCAAAATTCCAATTTCCTGTTACATTTAAATGACCAGAATCACAGAGCTCTCATTCAACACTAAGATTGTGTCCCCAAACTATGTGGCATTGACAGCTGAGGTGCCTGAAGAGTTCTGGCAGCATAACCTGTCCCTTGAGGCAGGGAGCTGCTATGTCTCTGCAGATGTGGACACATTGTCTAAACCAGCCTTGCAGAAAAGAAAATGAAGACTGCAGAAACTGGAACTGTGCCCTGCCAGCATCGTTCAAGCACAGCCTAAGTGGACATTTGCTGAGCTAAGAGGGCACCAGACTTCCTATTGCTTGATGTGACTTGCTGCTGAGAGCGCTCATTTGTTCACTTGTACCAATAAATTTTATTTCACCAAAGGATTTAATTCACTGAGGATATCAGGTTATTTGCATAGCCATTAGTTGCTTTTAAACCTGCGTGGGCTTAAACATTTCCATTTCATAAACCTCCTGAGTCGGCCTGGACATCTGAATTCTCTTTGAAATGAAACTACAGCTGTATATTGATTCTGATGCATTACCTGAGTGTGAACAGATGAAACAGCTTGCACTGCAACATTGAAAACACCCTTGTGTCCTTCAACCCACTTAATAGGCTGTGTCTGAGATGGAACCTTCTGTAATGGAAAAGATATACGGGAATCGTCATCTTCCTTGTAATGATCAAACTGAAAGCCTGTTTACGTGGAAGTCTATGGGGCATTCACACTATTAATTTCCCTTTAGATATCTCAATTCAATAACATACAGAGGACCACAGCTAGGCACTTTCTTGTTCTCATAGACTAGATGGAGAGAAGTTGACACATTGAACAGGGGTGTATCTTCTGAGGGGGTATATTTAGGGTTAGAAGTTTCCCAGTTAAAGCACTGCCAAAGGCACTCCATGGTGATGTGATGCAGGTTTAACCCTGTGGACGGTTTCCTACTTGCCATATTTACTCACACAGAACGGTTTTCTGCTCCAGTAGCAGCACCTGATTCAATTTCTCCTCCCTCTCCCACACAGCCACAAAAAAAAATGAGCAAATCATCTTCTGGAAGAAAGCAAATTATTGACTTGACACCCTCTAAACAAATGTACCCCTGATTAGACAATTTATAAGGATTTGCTTGGATAACTAAATCTAAAAAACACAGTATAGCACTATAAAATAATAATGCCATCAGTGGCAATAATAGCAACACATTTTTCTCTAGAGCTTTCCCGTTTTAAAATATAAAAGGGAGCCATTGTCTACTAGCAGACAGCAATGTTAGTTTGTAAAACACTTATGCTGTTCTTCTACATTAGGCAAATACTATTTGTTTTTCTTTGTTACCTCAGGAGAGTGGATTGAATAGTGGAAAGGCAGCTTATCCAATGCAACAGGAAGACAGTAATGTCCAGTTTGAAGACGATCATTTAACAGAATTGGCAGCCACTGAAACAAATGAAAACACAGCAATATTCATGACTACATATGATTAGAGCTATTTATCTAATTTGTTATGTGCAGTCAACAAAACAACAAATGAGATATTGACCCAAGCTTCTCTGTACTAACCAATTCAACAGTAATTTCTTTGCATTTTTAATTCACTGATGGCTACTGTAGAAAAATATACAAGCCTGCTTTACAAACCATTCTGTTTGAAGAAAACAAACACAAGGCTTTTCATGTGTGACATATATTTTTCTGAAAATCTTACCAGAAGAATGTCCTAGAGTCCATGCTTTTATTTCAAAAATTGTATGTTTTGAATAGACTGATCCTTGACTTTGACAAAAATAAAGAGAACTGAAATTTTGCTAAGGATAAATTGAACATCTTGGTCATGTTCACCATAAAAATTAAGGACAGAACGACTCACCATAACTCTGTTGATATTTGGACACAATTTTTCTCCTATTCAAGTCTGAAAGAGGCTATGCATTTGAGTATCACAAGGCAGGAATATTTTGTATTTAGGTGAACAGAAGCTCCTCATCTATGTTAAGTCTCACTCCTGAACTACAAACTAATTCGTTTCCTACTAATCCCATTGACATTGGTGGGACTACATCTGTTTATAAAAGAAAGCCCATTTGAAAGTATTCCCCATATTAAAAAAAACAAATACAAACTTCAAATCAGGAACACATAGAAAGCACTTGTCTGTCCCTAGTGCTCAATTGCTGACTATGGCACTAGAGTGTTTTCAAATCTGAAGTATTATCATTATCTATGCCTTCCTTTTATTTTAAAATCTCTTCAGTTAAAAATATTGATTGATAAATAAAAAGGTCTAAGGGACTATGCTACGATATGTATTTCTTAAGCTAAAACATGCTAGTCTCAACAAGAAGATAATGACTGCAAGAGAATTATATTTTACCTTCTAGATTCTTCCTTTGTTTCAATTTTGCTGTGGGTAAAAGACACTTTAGAACATAAACAATATGCCATACATAACCTAATTGAAAATATTATGAGTAAATACCTCGTATATGAATGTGTTAGGTAATAGTAAATAATTGTAATTGCATATGTTTTAGGATTGGGATTTTTTGCAATAAAATAGAATATAACAAAATTAGGCGATATGCTATAAAGCATCTTTGCTGCAAATATTCAGGTGCATACTTCAGTTTTGTCAGCTGAATTCATCAACTTCAAAGACACCTAATGCAAAAGCATAGGGTAAGGATGCAACAGAACAGGTGCATCTTGTTTCTGTGACCTACTTGTTTTGATTTATTACCATAACCAGAAAGGGAATATATGATGAAATTCTTGATAAGGAAAGAGTCTCTTTGCATAGGATGTAGTTACACATATATACATGCACACATACTTATATATCGCGTGGAACTTACTGTGTACCCAAGGAGGGTTTCCACAGATGCTCCTTGCTTTGGCTGGCAGCTGATGTGATAGAATGTGAACAATAGGTGGTGTTTCTCTGTGAGTTTTGCTGGCAGCTTAATTTTCACTTCTTCATAGAAGTCAGGTGACCTGTTTAAAAAAAATGCAAAGCACATTTCCAGCGTAAGTCTGAGACTGAGTAGGAAGCAAGTTTGCCAGAAGGCTTTTATCTGCCATAGTTCTAAAAACTGTGTAAGTCCTGAAAACATATACACATATACAGCTGTATTTATGAACTACCTACGGCTTTGAATCAGCTCGAATCTTTCACCTTTATACTTTCAAAAATATTCAATCTTAATTTTGGTTTTCCATGTATTTATTCTGTAAATCCTAAATCCCAGGTCCAAATTCATAAGAATGAGGCCCCTTCAGCTCTTTTGGATATATGAACTCAGCACAGTGAACACTGTTACAAGCTTGTGCTGCTGCTTCCTGCTTCTCCTCCTTAATCTTCAGATTAGGAACATTTTCAACCAACCTCTGAAAAGCTCCAAACAAGAAAAGCAATGATTTGTTATGCAAAGGTCACTTACACAAATGCATGTAGCAGTATGAATTAGATATTAGACAGAATGTAAATGTTTGAAATGGATTAGTACCAGCACTGCTTGATGAATTATATAGGCTAAGAATTACGTAAAGAGATCATGATTAATACTTCTTAAGTCACACAAATAGTAACAATACTTACTTATTATGATATGTGATAGCTGTATATGTTTCTTGCACAAATTCTGGACCTGAAGATTTCCCAAAAATTACCTACATTAAGAAGAAAATAAAGCAACAGCAGTCAGGTCAAACACACCTAATTGTCATAATCTTGTATGAATATTGTATAAAGGCAGCACCTGAAGGCTGAAAATTAATTTCCAATTTTATCTCTGCACATTGACCCAAATGTCTTACTACCAAACACCTTCCTCACACACCATTCAGGGTAAAACACCAGGAAAATGGAGCAGACGTTAGTTCCAGAGCCACTGACTACTTCACACTGCATTCGCCTGTCAGGCTAAAGAGTCGGGAATTGCAGGAATAAAGTTATGGTAAGCCTCTTACTCATTGTCACATTGTCTTTAACTAAATTCTAAAAAGTTAGAAGTATTTTTTTGAAGTTCATTTTCAGTTGCAGCCTGCTCATTTAGGGTGAGATCCGTCTCACTTTACCTTAAAGGTCCAAAGTTCCTTTATAATCAGTGAAGAGAAATAGGCATTTTTGGTGCTTGACGTGCTTCCCTTATTGCAGACACAGCCTCATGTTAAGGTCCTGGAATCCAGTAGCTTTAAAGGGAGCCCTGGGAGAGGAGCTTAGACAAGGATATCTGTACCGCACAAGTCCATACGCATAGAGGCGAAGCCTTCTCAAAGCAGAGAGCAGAGCTAGATGAACTGCATTTGTCAAAATATTTGTCAAAAGTGTTTGTCAAAACCTAATCATAATATGAGCAGACTTTAAGGAAACCAACAATGCAGTATGATGTAAAAGATGGTACTATATTTGCATGGCACAGCTCCAGCTCTGGAAAAAATGTGGCTTGGGGAAGTACCATGATGATGCTCTGATTTCAGTTCCAGAGGTCACATGGAGTAAGGATGTGAAGTATGTACTGTGCAGTATGATAAAGACTGGTCAGGTGTCAGTCCTTGCTCCAACAAATCAAAGACTTGTTCAAAATCGGACCAGAGTTCCTCAAAGTAGTATTTCCACTTTTTTTTTTTTCCCCTTCTAACACAAAAAAATCACAAAAGATCTTGTCACAATGTCATTCTAAAATAGCTAATTGCACTGCCTAAAAAGTTCCAAAAAAAATTCAGGCTAAAGCAGACACCTGGGATAGAACACTTCAAACTGAACATCTGAAGTCTGGTAAAGCTGAAAAGAGGATTTTATAATGGGAAATGTTGAATAACCTGAATACAGACAGTGCTACCTGCTCTGCTAGTACCAGACACATACGTGGTAATAGACAGTTTGTCTCAAACATGGAAAACTCTACCTACACTGCATGATAGTGCACCTGTTCAGATTAAGGCAATGAAGATCCCAACTTCTACCTTCCAGTGTTAACACCTGAGTATTTGTGTATACATAGTGCATATGGAGAAGTTACACTGGCAGATAGATTACAGCACTCTTGAAAGGTCTCTGAGAATTTTCCATTAGGTTTTCCAATACAGCACTGACTTAAGATGTCACTCTTCTGAAAATAAGGTAGGAAGACTTAGATAAGAGGGAGTAAATATGCCTCTGTTCCACTTGAGTGCCAAGTCTTCCCTACTGTGGGTAAGGCCCTTCTTTCTGATGAGAATGACAAGCTTCACAAGCTCTCTAATGTTAGGCTTCCTACGAAGCCACACTCAAAACTATGGTGATGGAAAAAACACACTGAGTTACCTCTTCAGAGGTTCCTCAGGAACACATGTAAGGAAAAGTCTGCTAAGAAATTTCAGCATTTATTACCGGCATTGCACAGGACGGGTCTTCACCACACATAAACTGGACCTTGATAGTAAGGTTTCTTGCAGAAGCTGGTCGATTAGCAAAATTCAGCCTCTGGGGGTAAACATACAGGAGATTTCTGGAAGAAAGAAAAGGAAGAATAGAATGGGTAAATGCCAAGTATTTGCATTTCAAAATGAAGTGCACAAACTAGCATTTTGCTGATTCCTCTTTCCTTTAATTCCACCTAGATCATTTGCCACAACTTAATTTCAAAAGTTAAGTTCTTGCTGTGACACAAAGAACATGCTGTGTTTAAGGTTTCTCATACAGAAGCTATGAAGGCAGTCTTCCCATCTTTTTCATTTTATTTTTTTAATGCATAATTCCCAGTTACAAATGAATGAGTATCTCTGCTTGACATAATGAAAAGAGGAATCTATCAAGGAAGCAGCTCCCTCCTCAGCTGTGAAAAATCAGATTTTGGAAGGGGGAAGGAATTACCCAGAGGTGATAAAACAAGTAAACCAGCAAATAAAACAAGCAATTGAAGTTCATACATTCCTGGTTTATAGCAAAAAAAAATGGCAGATATTTCTACATTGTGCAAATCAAAAAGCGGTACCAGTAACCGAAACACAAACAAGAAATTTTGAACTATCATTCTAGAAACTGAAACACCTTTTAGTAATGAATATGAATTAATGCTTTAAAATACATTCTTTGCTGTTTACTAGCTTCCATATATTGACAGATCACTAAACTTAAAAAGCAACTTTAATTTTTGTGGGGAATTCAGCAGCATAGCTGGTCCTCCAAGTTCAAACTCCAGCAGTTCTGGTAGAAAAGTCAAAATGCTAACGGAAAGCTTTTTCTCCAAGTGTATGGCAAGTCTGAGAGTTCAGCTACATCTGGATTGCAGTCTGGCATCACAATTATGTCTATCTAATATCCCATTTTCCTAGACTTGTGAAGGATTCTCATTGTTTGTCCTCTGAGTATAAGGAATAAGACTAGTGTTGGTGGAAGCATGCTGGCTTCCAATGAGAAACAATAAGAACTACTCATGGGCTTTCATTTTCTCCTTTTGTCTGTGACAGTCAGGAGCTACACACAATATCTCCCTGTCCTTATCACAGATACCTCCTCAGCACCATCATCAGATGAAAATGTAGAGCAGCTTTGGAAAATGTTGTCATTAAGCCAGACAGTCCACCTTCCATTTGTTACATCTCAAGTCCTGGAACAAACACTGTGGTTAATTCTCCTTATTGCCACGTTTCACAATGTGAAAATAGGCTTCAACTATACAGTCCAAGCTACTCCGCTAAGCAACATGCACTATGTCAGCCATCACATGCCTTAGCAAAGAAACTTGCATGTTAACTTGCCTTTCCCTTTGTCCAGAATAGTACTGCTGCCTGCCACACTAATGCACTTTCTTCTCTACCTTCTTAAATGCAACTTCTACTCAGCCAAATTCTTTCCAAGATATTAGAAAAAGCTAAGTGAAACAGAGAAATAGATCAGTAACCTCAACTGAATTATGCTTGGGGAAATGACATATTAAATGAAGGATATTATCAATATTACATCTGCCAGATGTGAGGAAATGTATATAGGACAGGCTAAATAATCCAGTCATTGCTTCATTAATCTGCATCCCAGAAGATGTCACAAATCCATATGAAGTCCTTGAGCACTGGATTTTACATTTAGATGTGAATTGAGATGAAAGACATGTAAATTACAAACAGAGAGCTCTTTGCTGACTATAAAACCAAGGAAGCATTATCCCAGCAGGTACTGTACTGAAGAGCTAAAGCTTGTGCCACTTACGCTCAAGCAGTTTTAGGGATCTTGCTTACACGTGTTTTAAACCCATCGGCACTGCAGAAGAACAGACAGATGCTGACTCTGAATATCCTGCAGAGATGAAAGTGATGACTGATTTTTTTAAAGCAGGGAGGTGTGGAGATGATCAAAAGAGGTTCCTTCACACAGGCATGAATTGTAAACCCATTGTTGACCACTGCATAAGTGCTACTGCCTGCCAGCATCCATACCCTCCAAATGACAAGGAGCATTTCCACATGTCAGTTAGCAAGGGTGCCAGGGCAGCATATACTGTTGACTTTTAAATAATAGGACACCTAGCATGCTCATAGGACATGACAAGCTCCAGGAGGCATTGTGTCTCCCTTGAGGCTCTGTGCTGAGCAGAAACATTCAAACAACATCACAGCAATTATTTTTGGTCAGTGTGATTAAACTTCTCCCCTCCCTCCTCCCACAGAAAGTGCAGAGCTCTACCTCCAGAAATAGTCAGATGTGCTTACAAAAAGCAAAAGGGCTATTCAGAAGCAGTAGTGGTACCCTTTACAAGACAGGGAAAAAGAAGTGGGAAAAGAATGGCCTCATTCTACCTTACTCGGTGTAAGGTAGTACTACCTTACTCGGTGTACATTATAAATAATTTGCAAATACTTTCAGTTGTTTCAAAAGCTCTCCTTAACAAGATTTTCTTACTGACACTATCTTTTATTTCCACAGAGCAAAGAACAAAACTAACATTAAGCTGAAGAACAATGGCATTAAAATGACAACATCATGGGTTTTCTGGAAGGCAAAACACTTTATTAGTATATGACAGATTTTAAATAGTATAAAAGTGCTCAGAATGTGAAAGCAGATATTATACTAATGATTTTCATACAGAGAGCTACCAGCTACTCAAGACACAAATTTGCCAAGACTTTTTTAAATGCTTTTGCTGCATTTTGAATTATACTTGCTTAAAAGTATGCTGAAGATAGTTTTCAAGAATTTACTTTACGATGTCAAAATTAACTGAACTGAACCCTTTCTAATTAAAGTATTTGCATGTGATTCTTTTTTTTAAGGAATAATTACACGTTTCTTTATAGGCTTTGCTTTCATCTGGAAGCTCAGACAAATCCATATTTTCTCTGGAGTCTCTGCTCAGTTGACTATACAGAGATCACCATGCCATGGTGGCATGTTTTCCCTTCTGCCTATATTACATAATTAATTGTTTGTTATGAGGAGTCAGGTGTAATACCTTGTCTGAAAGCATTGTGACAAACAAGCTGCTTGTGGAAGTGGGGCATGCACTCCCAGAATCCTGTTTGTGAAGTTTTTGGCTTCCTTGTTTCTGCTTTGTTGTGCAGTATTTGACAAAGTAACTTTTATCTCAGTAAAAAAATAAAGAAAAATCAGGAAACCTTCCATGAAACCTCTTACTGATGAGATAGTACAGTAAATGCCCAGAAAAGATTATAGGGCTTGGAAAAGAGCAGGCAGCTATTTGCACTGAGATGAAATAGTGTACTGAGGAGCAGATTACATCAAGACACGCTCACACCTGTCTGAAACTGTAGTATCTAGCTTAAGCGGTTTCCTTCCCCTGCGCGCAACAGAGTGATACCAATCTCCACGTTTGTTACTCTGAAGAAGTTAGAAGTGCTAGCGTCTCTAACCAGCACAAAACTAGAGCAATGGTCATATAGAAGATGCCAGGGAAGTGATTGTCCCTGTGTAGCTGGCATTGCTGAGGCCATGTATCAAATGCTGTGTTCAGTTCAAAGAAAGACATTGAGATGCTAGACGGCTACAAAGCTGCGGAAAGGTAGCTGCTGAAAGGAACGGCTGAGAGAACTGGGGTTGTTTAGTCTGGACAAGAGAAGGCTTGGGGAGACTTTATAGCTCTCTACCACTACCTGGAAGGAAGCTGTAGGGAGGTGGGTGTTCATCTCTTACTCCAAGTAACAAGTGATAGAACAAGAGGAAATTACCTCAAGTTGTGCCACGGGAGTCTTAGATTGGGTATTAGGGAAAATGTTTTCACCTAAAGGATTGTCAAGCATTGGAACAGGCTGCCCAGGGAAGTGGTTGAGTCATCATCCCTGAAGGTATTTAAAAGATGTGTAGATGTGGCGCTTGAGGACATGGTTTAGTGGTGGACTTCGTAGTGTTAGGTTTATGGTTGGACTCACTAATCTTGAAGGTCTTTTCCACCCTTAATGATTCTGTGATTTTGACTACATTAGCCTACATTGCCTTAACTATGCTTCTGCTTATCAAATGGAGCATTGGCAAGAGTGCTTGAGCTGTGGCTAGGTAATTCTGGCTTGTGGGAAAAGGAGGTGCTTTCAATCACACTGCACAAATACAAGTATTACTTCCTGGACTGGACCAAGTTCCAGACTCTGCTGTTTCATAATATTTGCAAAGCTGCCTCATGAGACTTTCTGGGGAACTATTGCTGGAGTTCATTAACAGTTACAGTTAGCAACTCCCCTTTCTCATTCTGAACATATTTGTTACCGCAAGGCAACATTTCTGCATTTTTCCACCTTTTCCCCAGTGTATCTAACTAACTAGCTTTAGATTTTATTTGGGTATTAACTAACTGAGTTGCTACTTCACAGCCTAACACCACTTATGGCATGTCAGTTGCATCATCACCATTGATTCACTAGTTAAAGGTAAAGATTAATGAAGGCGACTATTTTTTATAGATATTCTCTTCATTATTACAAGCTAGTCTGAACAGATCCTACTTTTGTTTTGTTATCAAGACTTTTATTTAGGGTGAAAATCAAAACAGAGACCAAGAAGTCTGAAGAGATTAAGTATGCTGGATATAAACTCTTGCTCAAAGAGTGTAACTGTTGAGTTATAGCAAGCATTTTGTCTAATATGAGTGTATGTATTCAACACAGACACCCCTAGCAACTGAGGGATAGTGTGGAGACACCCAAACTTGCTTTGGGAATAGTACACATTAATTTTCAGCATGTGGCTTTGATATTCATAAGTCTGGCCGCAGAAGTTTACCTTGGTGAGAAGTAAAGGGAGAATACTCTGTGCAGACTCAACTGTCTAGTTCAGGAACACAAAGATTGCTAATCTTTTAATTTTCAAAAGCAGACTTTTAGACAGTACGAGTCTGCACACCGGAGTTGACAAAAGCCACTCCTTATTGTGGCCAGACAGCAAATAGGAAAATTAAAATTCTGTCTCATTTTTTCATTAAAAAAAGGGCATCATTACTGAAGTTCATTTCCATCTGCATTTTCAATTATATAAAAACTACTTCCCCTATAGAAATGTCTTCATAAACCCCCTAAAAACTGGGGAAAAAAGAAAAAATAATTGTAGGTGTCACCAACAGCCAAACTGTCTCTCCATTTTCACATGAAGGTGTGGAACACCTCCCCAGGATAAATTAGTCTGAAGCCTTGTAGTTCTGATTTGTACTGAACCACAAGTCTTGTTCTTCCTTTTTTCCCTCCTTAGTGTAGTCAAGTGAGTGGGTAGGAGAGCTGGCTCTTTGCTAATCTCTGCTGCAAGAGGTGAATAAGGTTTACATCCCTCCTTAATTTCTGATTCCTTTCTGATAGTCACATCTTTGCCACTAATGCAGTTCAGTACCCAGCTACTGCTTTACAGGTCAGGAAGGTCCCTTACAGTAGCACCAACTACTGCTGTAAGAAGAATTCTGCTTTACTGCCATGCCTTCACTAACACAGTGGTCACATAAAAGCTGGTATTTCTGTACCTATAACACTGTGATACACCTGTTTTGAATTACTGTTAGTTAGCTATTACCGATATCACTGCTCACTAGCACTGCTATGCTGCACAAACATGTTGAAGCACATTCTTTTGATATTCATTTCTTCTTGGAAACTCAGCTGTGACAGATCACCAAAGAGTTTGGGAATTGCTCAGCTGCATGCTACTGAACACTATGGTCTCCCTGAAACAACCAGAAAAGAACAAATCTAAGGAAAAAAAAAAAAAGACAGAGCTGAGAGCTCATGGTGGAAAAGTACATGGAGCAACACAACACTGCCTCAGATTCTCAGATGGCTCAAGTTAATGGTAGAAAGCACCCAGCACAAAGGTTTACCAAAACTGCTAATCTACTGGGAAAAAACCCACAGAACAGAAAAGTCAGTGAAAGCTGTAGAATTTTCTTTTTTCCTTTGACATTTTAGAAAAATTTTCAAAGGACAACAAAATTAGATTAGTAAATATATTATAGAACTTCCTGTAGGTTTTTTTACCTTGTAATGGATAGTAAGATTAAATCATCAGTTTAACACATAGTCTTTAATATTTAAAAAAATGTTTTTAGTTTCTATTTATGAGAAAAAAACACCACAAACTAAATCACAATTATTTTTGGAAATGGATCTAAAGAAATTAAAAAATTATATGTTATTTCTTACCTATAAATAGTATGGGGAACGTACACTTCTCTAATTGGGAATTCCAAAATCTCTTTGTGAGGACGACTACGGTTTTCTGGAAAAGGCTTCACTGGTAGTAATTCTGGTGTCAGACAATAACCAAGGTTTTCTGGAGCTGGGGAAATCTCCAGTTTAAGTGTTCCTTTAAAAAAAAATAACATAAATCTCAGCAAAGATATAAAAAATAACCAATGTACAATAAAAGAAAAATGAAAACAATATGTGAGATTACATAGTAACAGTGCAAAAACAAGAACTGGCTCTTCCACTTGAAGGTGGCATGAGAATGAAAGCGCAGAAATATACACAGGAAGTAGCCTACATACAGCCCTACAATTAAGTCAATATATAGCTCTTTATGTCTACCCTGTACTATTTCAAAGAAACAGCAAAGAAAGAATACTAAAGGCTGGGCTGATGTTCTAGTATCTTTCACACAATGTAATACAAAATTTGTTTGGGAAACAAAAGATAGAAGGGCTGATGTCTAATACAGTTCTCTCTCACTACACCTACTCAGATTCTGCTTTGATTAATCTCTGCCAAAGTAGACACCACCCACCAGGAAAGCCAGGCTTGCTGTGGTGAGCAGTTAACGGTTAATACCAATAATATTTACACAAGTAAAACTAGACTTTCAATTTACATTTTCTGTTGTGATTTCTGGCAATCAGCTAAAAAGGCAAACCAGCTTAGCACTCAGTTCATATTTTTTAAGGTTTCTCTACAACAGCTGAAGGAAAGTTTCAGCTGTACATTATATAAAAAGAAAAAATAAGCTGGTCAGGTTTTTGACAGTAGCCAAACACCATCTCTGCTTCTCTACTTTGTTAACCAACACTGACCCAAATACCCAAGTAAGATGAAATGTCTACACATTTTCATCTCCCACTGTAAAATATGACCCATTTAAAAATATTGCAGGGAAATAGCAACGATCTTTGAAATTTGCTTTAAGCACTGTCTTCAAACAGTTGGAATAATAATAAAACACATCCAGTAGATACACTGTAAACTAGAGAAGAAAGCAAATAACTTCAGAATACCATACTAAATAGAAATCTCCATCCTCAGTCATACAGAAAAAAACTTCAAAAGCATCTGTGCTCAGGTAGACATTGGTAACCCAGGAAATTCCACACTAGCACATACTATACACTTAAACCCCAAGTTAACTGTATTTTGGGGTTGGAATTTACAGGACAATTTAGGGGAGAAAAGTACATCTATCCTTTTCCATCCAAAAATAATTGCCTACCTGGTAAAGTCTTAATTCTTCTCTGTAAGGAAGACAATCTTTTGAAATCAGCTAAAAATTTGAACAGATCTTCATCACTGAGCCTGTCTCCTTCCTACCAGGAGAAAGAGAAAAATCAATACCTTTATAACACTACTCCATAACACTGAGAAAGCTTCAGACATAAAGAGTATCCGTTACCTGCTTAAAGAAGGTGCTGAGGGTCAGAGAGACTGTTTTGAAGTTTGAAACTGGAGAGCTGTCCTCCAAGCTGAGACTTCTCTCAGAAAATCTTCTTCCCTGTAGCAGCGTTGCCCTCTTGTCACTAGTGGATCCTTTCCCTTCAAGCAGAAATTAAACGAAATATTAACTTGCTTTGTGTTTCTTCAGTACAAAGACCATCAGAATACACTAGAAGCCTACAATTTCCTAACAACATCAGAAGATAAAGAGAATACCTAAACCACTCCACTATTTTTATTTCAAACTATGTGACACACGTAGTGAAGTGACATTATTTCTGCTGCAGAGCACAAGCTTATTCAGAGTTTTAGTTCATGGGTTATAAAGCACATTGGTCAATGTTGTCAACCAAAGGTCCTGTGTGCTCTAGAAACTACTATGTTATGTATTTTGGTAGCCCCATATTGCAAACAAATGTTATAAGAAAAAGGGAGTTTTACTTCTACAAAGCCAGTGCTCAACATGGCCTAAAACATGCAAGACTGTTTAGCATACATAAAAATAAATAAGCAGAGATGAAACAGTGAACATATGAATTTATAAGTGTTTGTAGAACAGAAAAGGAAGACTGAGAAGATGTGACTTCGAATCTGCTGTTCACTTTTGGTGCCAGAGTAAATGACATTATTTGGTATGCACAGGCCGACTGAAGAGTGGCTTTGCCCTACTCAGAGAAGTTAGACAAGTACCATTTAAACCTTCAGTTTCAGGTATTTCTCGTTCAAGTGTTGAAAGGTTGAAGACATTAGTCAGGCTTATGGGAATCCAGGCGAATGGCATTCTGTATTTCCCCAACCGCTGACAAAAGGATTCAGCTTGGGCTTTCAGTTTTTCAATCTTTTCTTTTGTCTAAGACAAGGAAAATAATGACCGTTTAAAAAGCAATCAGGTATTTTAATGTCATTGTAGATAAAAAAAGGAAACAACATATCTGTAGCACAGTAAATAATTTGCATTCTTATCTGTTTTCTTTCTGTACCACTCTCAGGATCACAGCAGTTTTGATTTGTACATTCACTTTTTCTTTCAATGACTTCATTTTTATTATAGATAAGGAGAATGCAGATCTTTTTGCAGTGACCCCCCGGCACAGCTTGAAAAATCACCATAAAACATTAGCAGATTCTGCTTCCTTTGCCAGATACAGAAACAGTATTCTGTTGAAAGCAATATTCTAAAGGAAGCAGATGTGCGGAAGTCCAGCAAACATGTCTGTCTACTCCAGGCAGGTAAATGACCATAAATTGATTGAAGAGAGCTCATGTTATCTATGGATGACAGCACTGAACTGGCCAGGTACACACTAGAGCAGGTGGTTTGCCAATCCAAATCAATAACATATCTCTGAGGTACAAATATTTCTGCTAACTCCACACTGCATTGTCATCTTCTTTGCTAACCCTTATCTGCTTTGTGACTCAAGACTCTGTTAGTATTGAATTCCAAAGGGTCAGTAATAAAGTGCACCATATCTTCCCATAACTTCTTTCCATCAGTCGCAGACACCAAACTGCTTGTACCATGGATGCACCAATTAGCTTTCTCTCCACTGTTCTTATGATTCTGTCCTGTTCCAAAAGGTCTGCTCTTTCTCTTCTTCTGTTTGTTCATTTTTGCTGTGCACACATTTTTTGATCTAAACAGTCTTTATAATCATTTACTTACCTTGCCAGCCTCGCTTTCTTTAAGAACTGCATAGGGTTCTGCACAGTCTCCAATTTCTCCTTGCTGAAGCACTTTTTCTATCTACAAAGAGCAGTAAAATAAGACACTCACAAAGAACAAATAACACCTAACCAGTAATATGTTGCTTCCTTAGCAATATGGAAGAGCCTGCGTAAATGAGCAGTATAGAATCTTTAATACCAGCTTTGTGGAGTAACTGGTACTAAACCAGTTACTCCATACTAAAATTCCTAGTTTTCTATTTGGCCTGTTAGAAAGCAGGAAATACATATGTGACCACACTGTCAATCAGGTATGCATTTTCATGGAAATCAGGAAAATTAATACATGCCAAATGAAGTGATTCAGGCTAACACAGTTTCAGAATTAAATAAACAAAATGATGCAAAGCTCACTAAAATAAAGCCATAGAAACTCCAGAGAACACAATTAAAATTTTTAAAAATGGCTTATTTGACTTTATTTTAAATTTCCCTTAGGCAGAGATAGGAAACTCTAAATATGTAGCAGAACTAGAACACAGGATATCAAAATCTTAGCTTGGGAGTGAGACACACCAGAGGACTTCTGCACACATACCATTAAAATCAATCAAAATTCACCTTAGCTACAGGAAACTCATGCTCGTCAGCTTCAAGAACTCAGACAACAGGCACAGCCAGGAACAGAAAGAATGGTGTTGAAGTAGCACTGTAACATACCTTTATTACTAGGTATATATCCGATGAGGGATAAGTGACAGAAAATACTGCTGATCTTGCCTGACTAGACAAGTCAATGGAGGGTGTATAAGAACGCAAGAATCCTCTCAATGAATCAGGGTTAAGGTCACAATGAAAATTTTCTGAGATCTGGAGAAGGAAAAGAATTAAAATGTATTACAATCCAAAAATGCATCAAGTTTTATTTTAAGGTAAGTCAAAAGCACTAATTAGAACTACAAAGTAAATAATTGGAAGCATATGACTTTGTCAGAATAAAAAGAATCCAATATCACACTCAGAGTGAGTGTGTGAAAAGTTGCATGTTTTTGTAAGTTTTCCTAAATTATTACCCCAGAGATACAAACCCAAGCCAACTTAACAAAAATACAGTTTGCACACTTACCTTTTTTCTTTCTTTTACATCATAGAGAGCCATGCAGGCAAATAAAGGTTCAATCTCTATCTCAAACCTATTAAGGAAAGACACACAGAAAACTGATTAATACTGTACTCTTATGACTCTGTATTAGAAAAAATAATAATAATAAAAGCGCTATATTTCAACTGGCACTTCCATTAGAAAATAAGGAGAAATATTTAGTTCCAGACCTCAGCTCTCTCAAAGTCTGGAGGATTTTTCTATTAGTGCATTTTATTAGATGATTTCTAGAGGAAAAGAAGGGAAATAAACTGCACACGATATATTTTCTAAATTTGTCAGAAAGCTGGTCTCAGATATCAATTACAAACAACTATACTTTTCTTAATTTTTTTTTTTCTATTTATCAAGTTCAGCACAGAGTATATGGAGACCAATCTCGTCTGTTGTAAAGATATAATCTGTGCTCATTCAAAAAGTTAGACTTTTGCAATGATGGATAGAAATGGTCCTCTGCTACACTAACAAAGAACAAGTAAGCATGCAAACACTTGCTGAACAGGACTGCAGTGGTGTAGCAGGGTCGGCAGCAGTACTCTGGTATGAACTGAGAAATGGTGAGCAAAGCCTGTGAAGGATACTTACTTCAGAGTCTGCAGCTTCACCAAAATCCTGTTGCCCAGATGTTCCTTTGGGCGACCTGGCACCGGCCGTATCTCCACTGTGTCTTCCTGTGATTAAAGAGTTACTCTAGTCATACTCAATTCAAACAACTGCAAATCCACATACTTACATATAACCTTCATGGGATGCTAAATGAGCTGCTGCTACAGACTAGAACCTTCACTCACCCAACGGGCATTTAATCTCTTTAGAGATGAAAGAAAACTGCTTTGTATTTCTGAGTATTTACACTTCTGACCCCCATCTGGCATTTACACTTCTGGCCCCCAAGCAAGCGTTAGGGTGAAGGGTAACACCCTGACACAACTGTATCACCAGCCTCAGGCAACACAAAGTACAACCACCTGAATGCCCGTTTATGCTGGCAGGAGCCTATGGGTTTGTGCTTTCACCATGTTATTACCCAAAGGAGACACAACCCCCATTTTCTGACTACAGTGCAGCTTTAACTTCAAGCATGCCAGGACAGCCAGCCTCCAAGCTCACCTCATCCACAGCAGGGTAGAGGGCAAGGAGCTCGGCGTGCCTGTTGGTGCCCCGGGCCTCCTTGTTCTGCCTCTCGAACTCCTCGGCGCTGATGTGCCGCAGCAAGTTCTCCAGGCGGGGGTCCGGCTGCAGGCTGCGCAGGTCGAAGTCAGATGTGGTGAGGGAGGTCCTCGAGGTCTCCTCAGGGAGTGCCTGGGCCTGTCGGGGCCCCGCCTGTTGGAAAACAACACCACAGTGAGCTATGGCTGGGACACCAGGCTGTCACCAAACACTGCTTGTTTGGCAGGGAGAGCCCTAATGCCACCTCTCCAGTGAAGCTTAATGGGCAACACAGCTCTCTGTTGATGTCATTGCAGAGACTGTAGGATGCTTTGAGGAAAACAGATGTATTTAACTGCTTTTCCCAAAGTTAAGGAAATGTACCTGAAGGTTTGCATCGCTGGAATCCAACGTTTCTGATTCAAATGTTTGTTTTTGAAGTGTCTTGTGCAAATCTTTCCGGGATCCCTTGTTTTTCAGGCTACAGGTATCTGAATTCCCTTGGCTCCTTTCACAGAGAAGCCCAATCAAGTCAGGTCAGCACGAGGAGGTGTTAAGGGGAAAAAAAAAAAACAACAAAAAAGACAATTTTTTTTTTACTTTAAACAAAGCAGCTGGGACATGGTTGTGTAAAAGATCAGCTTTTACACAAAAATGTGTCATTTCACGACATTTGTTTTACCACACCACTGCAGCTCTGTCATGTATATTAATAATGGTTTTAAAAGGAAGAAATATCATTCACATCACTTTTGCATAGACTGTAAGCCTGAGAGAGCAACAAAACCTGTTCCAGGCACAAATTCAGCTCTGTGCTCCTCAGCAGAGATGGCAACTCCTTCAGTGAACTTAACATGGATCGGATCGCTTATCTCTTGTCTGGCTCTTTGCTCCTCTGATTACACATGAAGGCACTTACTGATTTTGTCCTGGACGTAGCCGGCATCCCAAGTTAATCAGATACAACAATCCACATCTTTCAAACAGTGCCTGCTTCTGAAGAGGGCTATCACTATGGCACAGCGTAACACTCTTTGCTGGCATGTTCCCAAAATTTTGCAGCAGGGTATCAATTTCAAGTTACATTTTTGTGGCAGATGGAAAAAATCAGGAGGTACCCTGACAAAATATACCAGATGCATCCAGGGCTCTGTTTCTTCCATTTCCGTATGCAATTTGCTAAATCCTGTGATGGTATTTTTGCAGTCAGCCTCCTTGGTTAGAGTATTCTGGTTTGCTCATTTCCCTTTCTGCAGCACTCCTAACACTCTAAACATCTGAGTACTTCCATAAAGATGCCATGATAAGCAATTATTGATCAAGGAGACACCTTTTTATTACATTTTGGGAGTAACTGAATTATATGCTCTGATGTGTTTTAGTTTTAATTGTTCGCATTTTAATCACTTACCAGTTCACTGCAAATGAAAACTAAAGTCATAAAAGAGACAATCCCAGCTCTCCTTGGATGTGACCTTGTTTTGGAACTGCTTTAATCATCCAAAATGAATGACAGAAATTCTGAATGAGTTTACTTTAAGACACTGCAGCATCCAAAAGAGATTTTGTTTATTAATTTTTCTCTACTTCAAGTGGCAAAGAAATTACTTAATGGGGAGATTTATGTACCTGAGATCCTACTTTCCCTGTGAGGTACAATCTGCACTAGATATGCCCTTCCCCTGAAGTAGTCCTGTAAGATTTACTTATATTTTTTATTCATTCGCAAAGCACAGCTGCAACTAAAAACACCAACAGGCAAAACCTGCTTTTAGTATACATGTCAATTTTATGGCGACACACTGAATTAAGAAAATGGGACAAGGAAAAGGCACGAAGGACAACTGAAAGAAGAAACTGACAGGCATGGGAACAAGCTTCCCATTCAGCCTCTGGCAAAAACACAGGGACTGCTCAGCTGTGTCCAGCCCCTCTGCCATACACCTCTTCACCCTGGGGCACGAGGAGCACCTCTGCTCACCTCTGCACCCACTGAGGACTCTTCAGTCTCCTGTTCTGAACCTTCACATGTATGAATGAATGAAAGTCACACACTCATCCATAGCTTAGCAGACTGTACGTTCAGCAACCTGTCCTATCGATCATTGTCTCCCAAGTAGGCAACTACAATTTCTCCAGCCTTTCTCAAAACAATGGAAAGCTTTCTACAGTTTTCTACAACTACTTTTTCTCACTTTTCTCTTGATGTCTTTTCTTTCTTTCATATCTGTTTCAATATGTGCCCAAGCATAACATGAGGCTCCCAGTAACAATCTGTCACAGGTTTATGTGACACTGCAGCACCTTTTGCACTGTCTTGTTCTTTGCAATTTTTAATAACTTGCTTGCTTTGTTAGTCACGGCCATCAAAGCCCAGCTGTCCGGCAGGGCCCTTCATCATGTTTATTGCAGATTCAATTGCTCAATAAAGTTTCTGAACGCAAATTTTCCTTACCTGAATGAATGAAATAGTAAAACACACGACAAACCTTTTCACACGTGTATTTCTACAGTTTCACTCACATTTCTACAAGCACATGCAAGTTTTGCAAGTGCAAAAATAGCTATGTTCTATTTTTCACTTCACCTACTTTACTGTTTGTTCCCTACTTGTGTGCACAGAACTGCATACTGGCTCTTTGCAGCGCACTCAGAACAACACTGTGGAAGAGCTAGTGCCTGTGCTCTGCAGGTGGAGAGCCTGAAAAACCCGCTAACTTATTTCTAGTGACTCACTGTGCAGCAGTTCTGAGAACTCAGTCAATTTCATCATCACCCCCAGAGGAAGTCTCTTGATAACCCTCAGCAGCTGCTCCTTCCCTGCACAAGCTGCACAATTAAACAAAGCAATTTCTTTACAATCACCCGGAGCCAACCTGCAATGCACTGACTGCTGAAGTTTGTCAGGTCAGGTAAACAGAAAGTAGCAAGGGCAGGCAAAGGGGCAAAAAGTCAGCAAATGTGGCAGCACTCTGTCAATGGCTCATACTACTACTTCTCAAGAGCAGGGCATCAGTGCAGGAGGGGGTGAAGAGGAAGCAGTGCAGAAAAACAGAGCTCCACTGTCTCTTTATGAAGAACAGGAGGGGGTGATGGGGAAGGAGGTGAGCTCCACTGGCATGGTGCCTTCTGAGAGTCTGGGGACAGACACTACTGTGCAGAAAGCAGTGACTGAGGCTTCCCTTCACATTTGATATGTGAAATGAAATGGAATGAAATTAAATTAGAAGATTAAATTAAATTAAAATAAATTGTCACTTGTAATGACTATAGGTCTAAATCTATATTGGATTACACTGACCAAAAATACAGTAGTCGTTTACTGATGTAAAATTGTGAAGTCAGATGTTACACTAATAATCCCATGAATACAGTCAATCACTGCTGGGAAAGCCCACAGTCCCTGTTTTTTTGCACTCCATTTTGTACTCCATTTTGTTTTCAGACACCATTAGAACCCAGATCATGTCAAATTTTCAGGGCATGGCGGGGAAAATAAAGAACAGACAAATGTAATCTTTATCCCTGTTATCTTTTTTTTTTTTTTTTTTAGTATGATCAAATACTAATAGCATTTCTGATTTAGATAAATCATCGTTACAGACAGTTGATTTGAGTTTCTCACTGATTAATTCCCAGAGTGCCTGATAATAAAGAAACAGATGCAACAATATTTAGCTATAGCCCACTGGCTCAAACAAAACAATATACTCATATATACTACTGAAAAGTCAGTTCTTCTCTTCGGTCACTGATTCAAATCATTATTCTTTAGCATAACTTGTAACAGCTTGTATCTCCTTCCTAACAAATAAGATCCAAGCCATTTTAGGTTTTATTTACTTGTATGTAGCTTACTTTCGATTCACAATCAGCCACTCCTGGGTATACGTCTGAACGCAGTCTCTGACATGTAAGTCCAATTCAACCCTGGGGAAAAAGCAACATTTTGCAAATATTTTAGTACCTAGGCCATAGCTTAAGGACAAAGAAATTTATCTAACCGTGCTATTCAGATAAAGGCCTCTCTATTAGTCCTCTCTTGTGTATTTATTTTACTGCTAAACTGTTGTTTGAGGTTTAAAGAGTTCTGTGTATTGTATGAATTCCCTGATGCAGGCTTTTGTTACTGTGCTTATAAATATCATGCATCTAAGATTGATGATGCTAAAAAATATAGCAAAATAAAAGAAATTATACCAGGTACCCATCTTTGTGATTTTCAGAACTTGATAACATATAGTATCAACATACAGAGATATTTTTCCAGAGTTCTCAGCTCCTGAACTCTTTGAATATATAGTGTCCTGGGTTTTCTTGGTGTAATTTTCTTTTTTCTCACAGAAAGTAACAAAATTCTAAAAAAGGATCCTAAGCTTTTAATCAGTTAGCATAATAAAACTTTAACATCTAAAAACATGTTATAATTTAATTTTATGATTTTTGAATAAATCTCATTTAATGTAGGGGGTCATCAGTGCTGCCTAATGGACTGGATACTGACTGGAACCAAAGTATTATAAGCTACAGTTGAGGTCCATGAATTTGCTGCCATGATGTAGCATGATTCCCCTACCTGTATTCTAAAAAAACTTTAGTGTCTTGTACCAAGATCACTGTTACATCCTCTGATCCAAGTAAGTAAAAGAACAGGATAAAAATGCAGTGCAGGAATGGGTGAAAGGTATGATACTTTTTAGCACATTTCACCCAGAACTCTAAAGATTTGCAAGTGATTACCAGGAATGGGTAACAACTGATTTGGGTTCATGCATGCACCATGGGACAGAGCCTTGGCCGATACTGGGCTGCTGTCCCTGTGTGTCCCTGCACTGGTGGACTGACACAGTCCAGTTGGGTCCAGTTGGGATGTGTGTTTGCAACCAGGCAGCATGTTAACCCAGTTTGGTCAGTGGTATCCTCCTCTTCGTGCAGGAAGAAACCACAGACTGCAGCATCAGCTGCAGACAAGTCTTTGGTGCACGCCTCTCCTGCGCTCTCATCTTCCCTAACACACCCTGGCACTCTTCACCAGGCTTTTCTGTGAAAGCACTAATATTGATGATGGTGGTGTGTATGGCTAAACAAAAAAAGATTTGGTGAAAGCACATTTGTTGGTATTGAACATTTGAGCTTTGCCACAGACTCCTTACGACACACTTAATGTAACTGTAGTGCAAATCAGGCCTAAAACTGATGGTACAGCATGAGTCTACACATTATCCTACTAGAAAAACAAGAAAATAACTGCTGTTTCGAACAGCAGGCATGATGAGAAGTAACCTTGGAAACAGGGGGGAAATGATCATCTTATCTTTTAAATCTCATTTCAGAGTTGGATATTTTTTCACTCTTTTTGTCCACAATTTAAGTAAATGGAAACTCCAAGCACCAAAATATTCACTGTCTCCCACATCCCTTCTTTCTCTCCAGTTGACAGTAAAAAGAAGATAAAGATTAGAACATTTTCTATGAGTAACTTCAAGTGAAAAACCATCTTTTGTGCAAATGTTACAGACATAGCAGCCTGGGGCTAAACTGGTGCTGCCCTCATGTTTATCTGCCTGTTACTGCTTGCAAAACTCACTAGGCTTTTGTGGCTCTATCTGAAGATACCATTTACAGGCCTTACAGTGAAACAGCCCTTACAGAAAGTTTTACATACAGTAGGACTCTCCCAAACCACATCAGAAATTCTCCAGTACATACCTTCTTCTCATTCTGAAAAATTCTGTTGCTCATAGTTTTTCTGTTTCTCAAACCAGCTTAAATATTTACAGGATGGTTAAGCACCAGTATCAACACATGCTACACATTCTAATTTAAAAGCTGTTAAAAACAGTAGAATTATTTCATTAATATCAGCCTAAAATCAAAAGTGACTCCTAAACTAGAAATTAACACTTCCCTCTGCCCCCAAACCTTGTGAAGTATGAACTATTTCTCTCCATTTAAACAAGAAAGGTATTGAGAAAGATGCTTAGTGATCTGATCCATGTAACGTATAGCTGAGGGTAGCAAAGGGGAAGGAGAAAAAAACCTTCAATCCTATGTTTACTACATAATCCAAATCAACTTCCACCTCTGGCATCAGAGAAACAAAATTACTTTTCATACTACCCTCCTGCCCTTTTTTACTCTTCTTCCTAGTCTATGCCTACCTCACTTCTGCTGCTACCACCTAGCTGTGTAAGGGCTAGCATAATTTTAAATATGCAAACAGGCCTAACTGAACCAGTGGCAAAATTTAAACGTTTAAGTTCAGCAAATGCACAATGGCCGGATGGATGGCAGAGTGAGGAGTCTGGATCAACATTTTCAAAACGATTTTTAAACATGCAGCATTTCAGAGGGAGGTAAAGTCTCCTTACCCATATTCTGGCATAGAGGGCTGCAAAGTCCTGCACTCTTTGGGTGTAAAGATAACGTCCAAGTCATCTTCAGGAAATTCACCAAGTTCTTGAGCTAGTTCTGAGTCCAAGTTGTTCAGCTGTGTCATTAGGAAGCCTTCAAAATCTACTGGGTCTACTACGTCATAAAATGAAGGCTAATGGAAGAAATCGACACATTTATTTTAGCAACAGAATGTTTGTTTTTTTTTTTTTCTTAATATTGTAATTTAGTCTTATTATTTAATTCTTCAATTCTTAATTAAAGAATTCCCATTATTTGTTAAACATCAGAAACAGTCTTCTAATCTCATTTAATGCAAGAAGTTGCTAATGAAACGTTCAGCTGAAATAAGAAACAGAACGAGAAAGAGAACAAAGAAATAATAGTTTTATAACAAAAAGAAATGGAAGATATTACATCTAAATCTAAAATTGCACCTATTTTCTCCCTTGAGCTTTCCTAGATGCTGGTAGAAAGGGGGCAGACTGAGGTGCCCAGAAATGCATTCTGCTAGAACTCTGTGAACTCAGTCCCCCTTGTCCAAGCCATGGAATTAATCAAGGTTATATGCAGTGTAATTCCAGCAGCAGTGAGTAGGAATAGCAGAGGATGGGGCAAGTGACCAAAATGATAGTGACACCACCAGCTGTCAGGAAGCTGCCAATGGATTCTACAGCACATGTGATGGAAGGCACTACCAGTAGCAAGACCAAGACAGCAAGTCTCAGATGTTATACTGAGCTAAAGACCAACTATGAGCACCATAACTGCCATCATAAAGATACCACTCATTTGATGTGCTGTGCCTGAAAGATTCTGGCTACTAGAAACACTGTGCTTCCAACTTCAAACAAATTTGAGGGCAAGATACACTCAGAATCAGCAGAAATTATTATTTTCTATCTCTGCAAGTTACTGTTTTGTACATTACTAGAGTTTTAATTTTATTGGATTTTTCAAGGGTTAGTACGCAAAAGATTATATGGATCTGCTAAAGCTGTTATTGAGAAACCTTACATCCACTATTTCTACAGAATGTTGCATTGCACCTTGACAGAGAGCAATTGTATCTGACTACATTTAATCAGCTGTTCTTAACACAGAATGTCGGACCAGAAGAAAGTTAAACAAATACCAGCTCTGCTATTCATACACACCATGAAGCTGTCTGGCTCTTTCACTTTGCTTAGTGTCAAAAGCAGAAGCAGAAAATCTTGTTTGATATCATACCTAGAAATGTTCTATATACACATAAATGTGACTTCATATGTTAAAAGTATATGTTATTATTTGTATAGAAAAAATTAAAATTCGTTTACTTTTTATATAGGCAACAAAACATAGGCTTTATATGTTTAGAAAATAAAACATCTGTCTAGTTGAGTACAAAGACCAGCATATCATATCACTAATTTTCTTGACAAGTAACAAAGAGATGTAAAATTACAGCTTTAGAAAACCTATAGTCTATTATGTTCTGTGAGCTGCAGAAAGGCCGAGAACACCTCAGTACAGTAAGAACACTGAAAAATAGAGCATTAGCATAATAGCACTGGAATAACTTTTTTACTATGAAGAAGAATTCTAGCAAAAAATAGCTATAAAATTATTCTTGTCCGTAAAAACAAAGGGTTGCATTATCCAAATACCTTTCTCAAGACTGTCTTCTTAAGCTGCCAACAATAGTCTGTATACAGATCCAGTAATCTACCCCCATGGTGCTGTTGATGCAGTATGGGGAAAATAAAGCACCCAATGTTCCTGGTATCAACCACCTTTATATTCAATGTTACTGTGGCTCTTGTCTCATCCAACATGCATTCTGGAGCTCCCCTGCTTAAATTTCAGTGTTCTTCACCAAAAATAAAACCCATGAGCCAAAATCATGAGGTCTTCACTTACTGAGTCCTGTATCTGCAAGGCAACTCATGGAGGTTGACAGGATTTTCACCTGAGCATGAAGTGACCTCTGCACATGACAATGTTACACTCACAGCATTATAAATTTTAGCTCAACAGGACAATGAGGGATTCCACAGTTTATGAAACATGCAAAGGTGCTCAACAATGGCAAAGCTATAACTATAATGGCTCATACATACTATGCCACATTGGTCACTGGAGATTAGAAGATGAGTTAAAGCTGATCAGCGGTAAATTAAAAGTTTTGGAGCCTTTTTAGTGTTTTCAAGCTATAAATGAGAAAGTAATTCTGCTGCAGAAACATCTTGCAGAAAGCAAAGGATATTTAGAAGAAATGCTCCAAAAACATCTAGGAAAAGCAAACCAATTTGAACTTTTGAAAAGAAAATGGCTGTAAACACCCCTGCAAATGATGTAGTAAGAGACTTCTGAACACAATCAACCACCATCCCCCACCCCAGGTTCCCCTTTTGTAGGGAAACTGTATTGTTCTCTGCATAAATAAAGCTCTAAGCTCACCCCACTGCCTGTATATTTAAGGGAGCAATCGAATTCTCTAAAAGCACGTTTCGCAAAAATTCTCTCTTTCTTTGCCCTTTGTATCCAAATGGAAAACTTAAAACTGACAGTAAGTCTGGCAAATTATGGGGCATCCAGCTGAAGAAATATACTGTGCTGTTAATAAATTTTTAGGTTAAGCACTATCTCAGGTTTGTACCTGGTGTAGTGCTGTCCTGGTTTCAGCTATAACAGCCATTTTTACTCCTTCACAGCAGCTGGTGCAGTGCTGTGTTTTGGCTTTAGTCTGAGAATACTGTTGATAACACACCAATGTTTTCGGTGTTGCCAGCATACTACATCAACAGTTTTGAATAAATAGTGATCTTTATTAGCCACTGATTTTTACTGTCAGCATAATATAATAAGATTAAAGTAAAACAGCTTAAAGTATACAAAAGCATATTACATTTCACTTGCTGAAGATGTAATGACTTACATGCATAGTATTTTTACTTAATACAATCTAATGTTTGATTAAGTGTTGCTCTTAATTTCAGAAACAACAGTTCTCCATTCTGACAAGTCACATTTCATCTTCTAACTTTTTCTAGTTGAAATTTTAATAATAATCTTTAATCACTAGAAATGTGTGCTTTTGACTATCATAAATTAGGCACAGATGTAAAAAAGATGGTGAAAAAGGTAAATGCAGATGGAGGGTAATTGTCTCCCTAGTGCAAATTATCAAAGGAAACAGAAATACTGTTTCAAGTGAGAAGCAAACACTCCTTTTCACACATCATACAAGTGTGCAAAACAATTACTCTATAGAAAATGCCAAAAATCATTACTGCAAACATACCTTTTTAATGATGATGGATTAGAGGCATGTAGATTGTGACAGCACACAAAATGGCAGCTGTGGCGTAGTACTTGGTAAATGAAATGTTATCAAGTTTCTCAAGAGCAAAAGCAATTATCTGCATGCAGAAGAAGGGACCTAGCCTCCCCAGGCTGAATAACCGAAAGGAACAAGTTAAAACCACAGCATTTCAGATTAAGGAAGTGAGTAGTGGCAGGAGGCCCTGACACATAGGAAGTAACTGCTTACATCTAGTGGCTTGCATTTTTCACAATCATTGGTGCACAAAGACTTCTCCTGCTTCTACTTAACTGGGTCTTAAAAAAATTAAAGAAAAATTAAAGGGGCAGGAAGGAGAATCAAAATCTTAGTTTTATTTATGGCATAGTATTTTTGCAGAATACTCACTCTCCTGAAAGGCTATTAGAAAGATACAGCATTTTTTCCCTTTGTCATAAGGGCAGCATCATATGGTCTGACTTCTTTACAGTGGGATTACACATGGAAGGCTGAAGATGATTTGGAGACATGTAAGAGTTCACTCAATTATACCCATGCCAATCAGCGCATATTTTGGCATTTTTCACTTAACATGCTTACTCTACAGCACTGAAAAACATGGTAGTGTGCTGGCTCTACTGCTAGCTCTGGAAACTGAATTAAGCCATGCTAGTTTAGCCTCTGCCTTCCTTTTATTCTCTTTATTCATTGATCTCCTTTTGCAAATTATCTGTGAACACCACACAATGCATTTACTTGACAGCGTTGAATGTTTCCAGCAAGGGAACCATGCAGTATACTCCAAAACTTACTAATTAACTTTGATTTATAGTAGTATGAAGAAAGTCTATCTATTTTAGGCTTCAAGGACTATTCTAGGCTTTTTCAAATGCGTAATTTCCTCATCTTACCAGGGACTATTTTTCAACAACTTCAAGCAGAACTTAGTAGAAAGCAAGATAGTTTAAGAAGATCACTTAATTTACACTAGAAACATTAAGCAGTGTAGAAGTTAAACCTGTGTAAAGAAGATTAATCCGGAACTTACCAAATGAAGAGTAGAAAAGCCAGGGGTACTTAAGCTTCTTTGACAGAACTGTGCAACGCCTGGTTGGAGAGTAAATTGCTTTCTTATTTCTGCAGAGGAGTGCCTTTAATTAAGCAGAGAAAAACTTTTATTATTACAATTATCTCCACTCAAATTCCAAGTGCCAGACTTTGCCAATTTGTCCCGTATTTAGAAATGTCCCAGGGTTTAGAAATGTATTTGGATGATGTGCTAGATTCGTTTTGAATCTGACGCAAACCTCAAAAAACATTCAAAGTCCTATATAATTAAGATTCTGATACTCTTCCAACAGATTTTTATCATTATATTGCAGTCCTGGCATCTGGGAAAGGCTATGCAAGAAAGAAAAGCCTTGCCCTTAAGTGAAGTCTGACTGCAACCTGTACAGCATTACTTGTAGATTCGCTATTGCAAAGAAGAAAAATACACAGAAAGAACAACGAATATCCCAGAGGCAAGTATTTTAATGAGCTAGCAATTGATCAAGGGATAAAACCAGGACAGAACACTGAACAGTGAAAGCCCAGACTTAGGTTAATGCAGTCTGCTGTGAAAAGCACAAGATAAACCAAAGTATGAATTTAAAAATCAGCTTATACTCTATCAGTTGAATGTTTGAGGACAAGTCTTCTTAAATGATAACTAATTTGTTTCCATAGGAACAGAAAGAGACCTGTACTGAGTTCTTCAAAAATCCCACACTGATAGTACAGTTGTGTATACCCAATCTAAAAATGCTATGATCACAGTAGCTTGGTCATTTTTCATGTAAACAAATCAATTATTATTTAACACAATTTAAGAATAATTGGCCATGAAATGGCAAACAAAAGGTCTACAGTATATTTTAAAAAGATATGTTTTAAAATAAAAAATATAAAATATATACAAGATTGTTTTTTAAAAAAAACAAGAGTCATTTAAGCAGATTCTAAGGGGAAAAAAAAAAAAAAAAAAAAAAAAAGAACAAACCCAAACCTGTAGCCCACCAGGGCAGCCAACTTGGAGACAGGAAAATACAGAGGGAAGAAGACTTTCTCTTCTATATGAGACTCTCTTCCAACTCAACCAAGCATTAACAGGCATCTTAGAATTACCAGATTCCACAGGACAGGTTGCTTGGTTAGTCTTAATGTCTTCTCCTCTGTGGCCTCTTGATTTCTACAACTACTATACCTATTCTGTGACAATCTTACTACTGCTTTTCTTAACAAGCATGACAAAAACCTGAACTCTGATCAATGCTGGTCTGCTCACATTAGGAGACAGGCATCTATTTTTTCCCTATTATAAAAAGAAAAGCTGCTTGTATATCAAGGTTATTGCTACTCATCTTCCCACTCAAATAATCTCTGATCACGTATGTATGTAGCAAGGTATAATACAAAACTCTTATTCAAAATTATTAATTTCCTTCAAACTGAAAGGTTTCTATCCTGTGCAGATGTGCCTATTACTGATGTAAATAACAGAGGTATCAGCAGATGCTGGCTTAATGCATGTTAAAAACTGTATTATACTGTGTTGCAGAAGTTGATGCTGCAAAAAGTGATATAAGACATCTCTTATTTACACCAGACATGGGGTCATCAGATTCTTCAGAGAGGAAATGGTAAGAATTTTCATCTGCAAAAGAGGAGCGTGCATGTAGATGAAGGGCAAATTTGCTGTCTGGTAAAAGCCTTTGCAAGCCCAGCTAAATGAGAGGAAATTTGTTTCTCAAAATCACTGCACTAGTTACAGAGCCTCCTCAGTATTCAAAGAAAGAACCTGCAAATTAAATTTGTCCAATGGTAATTGGCAGGATCTACCAGGAATAGGTAAAGGAAAGACACAGCTGCTAAAAATTGCTAAACTAAAAGCATGGAGAAAAGGTGGGAGTTATGGTCGGAGATGAGTGGTCCACATTAACCTAGCACATGTGGAGCTAGGTTCTGTGCCAGCTTCTATTCCAGCTTCTATTCCAGCTTCTGTTCCAGCTTCTATGAAGGCTGCAGTCCACCTATGCCATGGACATAATTTTACCCTTCCTGCCAGTACAGCAGCCTTGTCTGATTCCAAGAAGAGCTTTACAGTCACCCTTAGCAGCAAGGACAGTCTAGTTATGTGCTAAAACACAATAAGGAAAGAAGGCAAGTGATGAAGCGTGAACACAAAGCAAGCACTGAAAAACGTAAGCAAAAAAGGGTAACTGTATCTCCAGAAAGGGGGACTCAAATGGTCACTACCAGTCATCTGGTCTCTAACACCCAGAAAGGTAGTAGGGCAATTTACTGAACAATCAACTTATAAGTAGCTGGAGTATCAGGTCCCAAACTGTGGTCTCCAGCTGAAGCAATGGGACCAAAGAGACCGTGAAATCATATCACTTAACATCAAAGTGTATATCACCTTAGTAATGACTGTTTATTGATAGTCTCATGATAAAGTGTACGGTGAGCAGCTACAAACTGTGGTCTGTAGTCAGCTACTGTCCAAAAAGCTTGTCAATTATAGGTTTATTATTGGCAATTATTAGGATGAACATCCAATATGGATTTGTCAATGGACAGTCACATAAAACCAAGCTAAAACTGTTCTGTGATAATTTAACTGGATTGAGTAAGGCTCTTCATAGTGTCCCTCATGACATTCCTATAAGCAAAGTAAAGAGATAGTGGCTAGATGGAATCATCACAGATGCTTTCAGAACTGGTCAAGAAACATATTCAAGGCACAATAATCAATAGGTCAACAGAAGACTGTGAAATGATTCCAAATGAGGTACTACTGTGAGAAGCAAGTTAATTTTTACTCAGTCTAGTTCCAGTCCATATTTTATTTTACAACAGTGATGATGGCATAGATAACACAGTAATAAAATTTGTGGATCACATCTACAGTTGGAAGGAGTTGTGAGGGTACTGAAAGGCAGGACTAGCACTCAAAATTATCTTCCATTTAGAAACATCCTGAAATCAGCACATTTAGTTTCAATAAAAATAAACGTAAAACCCTAAACTTAGGAAAAAAAAAAAATCAAATGTAGAAATACAAATAGGGAAATATGCAGTCTACATAAATAGCCATGCCACAGAAGAGTCTCTGAGAGAGTATACTGGGACACTTAACAACAAAGTACCTTAAGCGAGGAAAAAGAGAAGTTATTTCTGTTTATCTAAGCCAATGAGACAGTACTAAGAGTACCACACAGTAAATCAAATTTACATTTTCAAAAGACAGCAGTTAGCATGCTAAAAATTTGACAAGGAAGACCTGTGAGGAAAGACTGAAAAACATAGATGTGTTACAGAAGAGATTACTGCATTGTCATCAACTGTATAAAAGGTAGCAAGCTGTAATTAAAACAGTGAGCAGTTCATGTCTATAAGGGGAAGAAGAAATAATCTGCTTAAAGAGAGGCAAGAAAGATGTAATAAGCTATTAAGAAAAATGTTCCCTCTGCAACCACAGCAAGACACTGGAAGTGGCCATTTGGTGGTGCCATAGTGACAACAGCACACTAGTGTCATAAATTAGGCCTCCGAACTACCTAGAGAACAGCATCTGGGCAACTGCAAGCTTTTCAGAGACCTGCAATGGAACTCAGCATTGTTAATATTTCTACAGACCTCCCATGTTTGCAGTTTTCCTTTTTTTTTTTTTGTTCACATAAGTCACTGCTGTATTTGCTGAATTCACAGTAAGCCAGTGTTTACATGGCATGGGGCAAGACAGTGTAAATCTGAGGAAAGATGGGAAATGATGGCAGCACAAAGCTTTTCTGGACTGTTTAGATCCTTGTCTGCTCCATAGCGTTGGAGCAAAATAACGTCAATTGAAATTCACTGTTCCACTCTTGTGTTTCCTTGGGCCTACGTGAATGTCAATGCCATACTCCTCTGGTATTAATCTCAAAAAAGTCAGAACTCACCAGTCTTACTGATCCACCTAGATGGGACTGGCGGGCAGCCAAAAAAAATCAAACCCAAAGCAAACCCCCCCAGTGCTGCTTAACCAGAATTGCACCAATGTCTGCCCCACTGGTAGATGCAGTCCTCCAGCAATACTCTTGAATTGCTATCAAAAAGTTGACACATAGTCTTGTATTTCACCAACTCTCCAAGGCAAAATGTACTGTTTGCATAATATATTAAAACAGTGTAACCGAAGTAACAGACAGCACCTGCAGGTTCTTAAAATAAATGTAACTTGGTCGAATTCTGAGCTGTTTCTCAGGGCACAGCTCATTGCAGTATAGGGGACTTAGAGATTTGGGTTATTGGTTGCGCCTAGATGAGGTATCAGGAAGGGAAGGTAAAATAGCCATTTATTTTACTAACGTAAGTAAATTATGTCAGTAAAATAAGTTAACATAAGTTAGATCTGTGCAGGACACTGCTGGGTTCTATAATTAAAATTACAGAAATGCTCGTAAGGCATAAAGCTCTGTAGTTTCACTGAAAATTCTGCTCAACAATATAGTTATTTAAAGTACACAGTTAAAAAGCAGGCACAATGGGTATTTTGCTAGTATGTAGGTAATATGAAAACTTATACACGGAACAGCTATACATAAATATAAGAAAACAGAGAGAGATCAGCTTTAAAGATACAAACTTCATAAGAAAAAACCTGATTTTGTAAGCATACTTCATGTACCTAGTAAATCAAGTTATCCAAAGTTACGTACTGTAACAAGTTACCTATTAGGGGAACGCAGGAAGAGTAATCCTCAGCACCCTTACAATCCCTTCCAGCAGACTCTGAGGAACAGTAAATTGTCCTCTGCAAGAGCTGCATACACAATTAGACAGCAATGAAAGACTGAAAAAAATGAAATAAATAGAGACTGCAAGAACTATCCCCGAAGATGGAGAAACAGTCACATTTAAATGTATACAGATGGCAAAATTATAAAGTAAAATAGTGAAAACTTTTGCTGAACAGGTAAAATATTCTGTCTTGGCTACCCTGAGGAGTAATCCCTTTCATCTGACACTGACGTAGAAAATTCTCAACTAGCTTTTCTTCTTTTTCTTCTTCACCTAACATGAAACTTCTCTAGTCACAACTTAAAATGAGCAACAAAAAAATCTGGAA